TCTGACCAAGATGACTTGAGAACTTGTTGCCGCTCCTCACTCTAGAAGCAGGAAACCACAGGGTGAGTTTCTGTGACTCAGCCTACTTTGTCTGCTAACGGAGGCTTTCTTCTGTCTTGCCATGCCCTCTTTCCTCCTAGGGTCCTGATGTCTGTGTTGTACCTACCTCACTAAACCAGAAGATCAAAAATACTCCCATAGTTAGGAAAATATAGAAAAAGTGAGTCATCTATAAGGTAAAACACCAACTTCTGTTGGTCTGTGGCTCTCTAAAATCAATCTTACAGCGCGGACATGGATCCATATGCACGTGTGGGAAAGTCACTGGCCTTGCTGATTGAGTTTGGGAGCACTATTTTGAATAAAAACCCGTCTACCAGGCTGGGAGAGAAGGAAGAATAATTCCAGTTTAGCTTGTTTCAGTGTCTCCTACTAGGTGATTACTTGACAGAGACTTGCTTCTCTGGTAGGTCCTTAGGTGACCCTAGCATTGTAGAAGGGAATCCAGTTGACTGAGTACCAAAAGGTGATTGGATTTGGCTGTTGGATACTGTGTTTCCTTGGCAAGCAGGCACTGGGATTTCTCCTGTCCATCAGCCCAGTGGTTTAATTTAGTTAAGAACCAAATAGGTAGGGAGCATCTAAGATTCTTATTAAGGCACCAAGTCTGGGGACTTTGTTCCCCCCTTCCCCCTCTACCCGTTCCAGCTTAAACCCAAATTGCTGAGGAAAGAATACAAGGCCTGGCAGATGACGAAAATAGGATCGACGTGAAAGGGCTCCTAGGTTGAAAACTTTCATTAGCCACTTTTTATAAGGGGTCACACAAGCTCACTTGTACTTCAGTGTCCTCCTTTCTTCCATCTTGTAGAGAGGGCTGGGGTTTTTAAAGGCCTCCCGATTGTACCACCCCTGTCCCCCACTTTCCAGCTCCCATCTTAAGGTCAAGGAAAAAGTCAAAAGCCAAGTTTTCCACTGAGGCTGGGAGTAAGGTAAGGAGTACTACTCAATAGCCAATATGCATTTGGCATCTTAAATGAATTTTATCAAAGACTTGCTTTTCTACACTGCACAGATGATAAAATGGAAAAGCTTCAATCTCTTACAAGAATGATTATTTATAATGATTCTGAAAATGCAGTTCAGTGTCCCCTGACTTTGCATGGACTTCATATGAAGGTTTTGATTATCCCTGCTTGTCAGGATCCAAATGGGGCAAATACTGCAGTCTGGCTCACAAAGCTTCCCCCCCCCCCCCCCCCCCCCCTCTGGCTCAGAGGGGCTCCCCCCCCTTCCCCCCAACTGCAATCTGGCTCAGAAGGGTTCCCCCCACCCCATTCTCCTCATATGCACAAAATGCAATCTTCAGTTACTTGTCTGATTACTGCGAAAAACGGAATGGTATTTTCAGAGGGCTTCCATGTTTATGAGGTGGAAAACGGAAAGGGAGGTGGACAGCTCTCTTTATTTACCCTAAACGATCAGATGCTCTAACTGCCATCTGACACTAGCTGATCTACTCACCTACCTGTTTGACCTGGTCAAATATGCAGATGCTATTTCTACTGCTAATCCCAATGAAAATGATTTGATTTTAAGTATGCAAATAAGGCTGTGTTAAGGTAGTATCAGTTGAAGTGCAAAAAGGAAAAAAAAAATCTATCATTCAGCCAGTTGTTTAGGCTGCCTTTCATCAAGCAACTGGTTTAACTTCATTGTAATTCAATGTGAGGGATTGTTTTGTGTGTATGTATAGGGTTCTAAATGGTAGTGACCCAGTGTTTGAATCAAAGGGTCATCAAATGCCAGCTCCTTCACCCAGAAACACAGAGGTAGGAGGGGCCCTAGAGAGAGAACCACCTGATCCAACTCCCTTTGTAGTTTCAATGATGACGAAAAGGACCCGAAGAGGGCAAACAACTGATTCGAGGTCATGCAGTCCCTGTGTCTGTTAAGAAGTTGGTTATTTGGTAACTAGGTCCCCTAGGAACTCCATTCATGATTTAAAAATCACTTTCCAACACCCCCTCCAGAAGGGGAATTTTAATAAAACATCAGAAATCTGTGGCAGGAAAGATGATCAAAAATCTTTTCAAAGCAGCTAAGATGGTATGAATGAATGGGATATGCATGGTTCAGTGATAGAATGTCCCAAAGTGTAATCAAAACACAATTTCACTAAAAGCTCTAATTTAGCCACTTGCTCACTGATTGAGGATGTGCATCATTCTACTCTGATGGAAAAAAGGGGACCTTAAGCTTGAATCTTTTCCCACTAGCAACAACTAATCTACCTTTGCAATGGTGTCACCCAATCAGAAAAAAGACCACTGTTTTCTCAATCAAATTGTTAAGTGATTAGCAGTCTACAGGCTGGCTGGCAACATACCTAGTGGCAAAATTTCTATCCTTAGTATCGTACTTGTAAGTTATTTTCAAAATAATCCTACCTACCACACTGATACAGTAAAATGACAACATCACTAACAAATTTGGTAGCTAATGCAAATGATATCCAGGCCTACAGCCTAACAGAAACTTTTCACATTGCCACTAATGGTATTTTGGATTATCACAGAGGGAATTGGACCCTGACTGGGTGGTACTCATAGAGAAGAAGGTTGGGATCTCTCTGTATTAGCACTGATGGAGCTCAGAAAATGCTTGGCTTTCCTAACTATGCCTGTCAGTGGAAGTAGATTCCATGATGCTGCTCTGGAGACATTCCTCTGTTGTTAAAGAAGGGACAAGACAAAATAGCTAAGGAGATAGGACTTCTCTCCACCATCACCAGAAGGGACCCCAGGCTCTATTCTCTCCTGAGTGTCTGAGCTGTGGAAATGCACTTAACACATCAACATGGCCAACCTTGGAATGTCTCCATAACTAAGACACATTACAGACAAACTCTAGCCATCACATTGCAAATGATAAACCAGTACGAATCCTCAACGACGAAACCAAAAGCGTCATCCCCTCTGGGTAAGAAAGTGGTTCACCCTCCAGGTTTAGTTGATCACTAAACTGTTTTTGAAGCAAGACTGATCAGGTATGATCTGGCTGCTAAGCCTAAGCTCGTCTGTCAGACTTTAGGATTCTGCTGCTGCTGCTGTTGGCAGAGCCTTGAAATTTAGCCACTGGAGGTGGCAAAATCAGGCAGAAGATTTCTTCACCTCCTACCTATTGTATGTCAAGGAGAGATGAAAATACCCTGAAATCAGAGGTGAATCTTTCTTCTACAAGAGCCAGGGGAAAGCTAATACGTAAGTTTCCTTGAGAAACTGCCCCCGGCACTGTATTGTGGTGTTTGTGGAGATTAAATTTTGAGAAGTCTCTGTTTAGTGGTCCACGGTAGTCTTGGGTTACAGTTGTCTGTGTTGAATGTACAGGTCTAGACAATGGCTTTGCATTGCACAGAGCCGATAGATGGGAAACTCAAATCCTCACGAGATCATCAGGCTGGTTTTCTTACAATGCAGACACCTGTGTGTCCCTACCTCCAGAAAAATACCATTCTGAATGTGCCTTCCCTAACTCTTCTCATCCCCAATATTTAAGATCAGATTTGAAATCACATATTTAAAAAAAATCTGGCTGTAAGTTAGTGAACAGCAGATTAAAGGTTTTCTGGGTTTTGCATTAGGAGGCAGTCATGATTAGCTAATGCTTGGATGATACCTCATAGGTGTGTGGTGAGATGGAGCATAATTTTTCACTGCAGTATTTTTGGATATAAATTCAATTTTAAGCATAGTAAAAGGTGGGGATGGTTAGTTGTAATTGATGGGGAAACATGGCCAAATTGAGTGACATGTTTGGTGATGAGATCTCCAGGATTTTCTTAAATGTACCACTATATAAAGTATTACCATACAACCCATGTTTTTTTCCCTTCAAAGCAAAAAAAAGGGCCCACAATTACTTAGATCATTTGTAATTTCCTTTGGGATTACCTCTGAATTGTTTCATGATGGTGTAGACTTGAATGGAATCAACCCCAATTGATCATATGGCAAATCAGCAAAAATACCCATATAACAATGGGAACTTTAGGGAGCTGATAGGGCCAAGTAGAGGATTCAGACCATAGGTCATCAAACAGTATAGTATTACTTCTAGGTAATGAAAATTTGGATTTTGTCATCTATTTCATGAAAGAGTGCCAACCTGACAACAGAATATGAGCAATGGCTCTAAAGCAGGTACTATCAGGGTTAATTACTGGTTCAAGGTCTCTCCAGATGGCTCCCATCTGCAGTAGCCATGTCTATAGTGTAGCATTAGATTTTGCACCTCCCGTTGAGATATATATATATATATATATATGTGTGTGTGTGTGTGTGTGTATGTGTGTGTATATATACATATACACACACATACATATATACACACACACACATACATATACATACATACATACATACATACATACATACATACATACATATATATATATATGTATATATTAAACCAAGCTCTCCTGTCAAGGAGAGCCCTTCTTCAAGGGAAGTCTAGGGAAAGATTAAAACTTTGTCAAGTCCCAGAATGGAAAGGGAATGTGCCAGCAGACTGCCCAAACCACTCAAAACAAATGCCGCCCCTCTCTCCTATCATTTTTTTTTGTTTGTTTTGTTTTGTTCTTTACTATTCTAATTTGACAGCAGAGAATTAGGACAGGTGATGAAAACAAAAGGCAACCAAACAAACCCTCTAATAGCATACTGGTTAGCATCTTTAGAGTGGCATTGGTGTGTTGCTTTGTCTTCTAACACTGTTGGTTCTTAGATATTATTGGGACATCTCCCCAGGGAGTTTCACAATGAAAATTGTCATTGAAGAGCACACGACCTCAGCCATGAATCCTAACCAGTAATGAAGCAGTGAAAGGCTTTTTTTTTCCTCTGGCTCATATGAGTTTAGATTTGGGGGACAGCTATATGATTTATAAAATTTTCATCTCTGCAAGTTGTCTGTGTCTAAATTCTCTTCTTATACATATGTAAGACATTTATGCTTTATTTCTTGGGAATCCGTCATCTTCACAAAGTGCTTTCTTTCCATTTTTAGTTTTAGGCAGTGTGGACATGAAACAAGACTGCGGGGAATGTAGTATTCTATAAAGCATATAATGGGTACATGGTTGGAAATATGTAGCTAAAATAACCCACAATAGCTAGATAACTTAACATATGCTACTCTGGAGATGTAGTGTCCACTTATATCGATTGACTCCTGCTTCCCACAGCTATCAAAAGAGGCATAAGAACGAACACGTAAATTCAAAAATGTTTCCCAAATGAGCAAAGTTCCACCGGTGATCGTCAGAATGCTGGTAGAGGTAGAACTATGGGATGATGAAGATGACGGCTCAGCCATTAGGACAGGTGGGCTTCCAGGCGAAGCCAGTGCAGTCCTTGGCGGATGTAACGAACCAGGTTGGTCATTGTGCTGTGTTGCGTCAAAGGCCCCATCAGTGAATCCAGATCTGCAAAAAATTCTGGAAACAAGAATACAGGTCAGTGAAGATTGTTCAATGGTGTTGGGCAAATTTGCTCTTGAGAGCTAAGCCAGGTCTGCGTGGCATCCCCCCACTACTTAAAATTTAAAGAGTAGAAAAGTCAATTATTTGGCTCCTTACTTAGTCCATCTACCAAATTTGATTTAATTTGCAAACTTTTTTGAAATTATTTTCAATTTGATTGATAATCTTTTCTTTTTAGATCACTTACGTTTCGAAATATATCTTCTCTCCTACCTAGTAAGCCATCCCTTTGTAATAAAGAATAAAACAGAGGGGGGAAAAGACAATTCAGAAAAAAACTAACCTAAGTTTAGACTGAGTTATAGGAAGTCTCCAAATGTCCCACTTCTTCAGAAAGGGGAGGTAGGTACATTTTCTCATCCTTTCTTTAAGGACAAGCTTGGTCATTATAATTATACAGTGTTCACTTATGGGCTTTTGGGGTACAGGGTGTTCTTTCTGTTTACACTGTTGCATTAAATTGTGGATATTGTTTTCCTCAGTTCTGCTTACTTTATTCTGCATCAGTTTGTGTAAGACTCCCCATGCTTCTCTGTATCCTTTATATTCACTGTTTCTTATGACTGAGTGATATTCTGCTATATTCATCTACCACAATTTTTCTCTAGCCATTCCCCAATGGATTGGCATCTATTTGTTTTGGATTCTTTGCTACTATAAAAAGTGCTGCTAGAAATATTTTGCTGTAGATAGGATGGACTCCTTGGGGTACATTTTTTTAAAATAGAGAGTTTCAGACTTGGACAGGACCTGGCATCAAGTCCAACTTCTGTATTCTATGGAGAAGGCAACCGAAAGCCCATAAATAGCAGAGCTGGGCTGCGAATTTGTTATATGGGTTTTTGGTGGTAAAACTGGCATGGTGGTGGTGGTGGGAGGAGGAGGAGGTTTACAAAGCACTTTATATATGTTATCTAATTTGATCTTCACAACAACCATGTGAAATAGGTGCTATAATTATCCCCCTTTTTACAATTGAGGAAACTGAGGCTGAAAAAGTTACTTGCCCAGATTAAATGAGATATTTATAAAGTGCTTAGCACAGTGCCTGGCACATAGAAGGTGCTATATAAATGCTTATTTCTGCCACCCCCTGCCCCTCCTCACATAACTGGTAAGTTATGTCAGAGTTCAAACTCAGGACTTCTAGACTCTTAAATCCAGAGCTCTACCCACTGTGCCACCTAGCTTCCTTAGACCAATGTAGATTGGTAAAATTTTGCCCCTGATTGAGGATTGGTCTGTGGGGACCCACTTTGGGGAAATAATGGTTAAAAAGGCTCTCAGGTGAGAGAGAAGGGTGTGTGTGTGTGTGTGTGTGTGTACCGAAGTTGGAATTTTCTTATCAAGGGTATGGAAAACGAATGAGTTACAGCCCTGGGGATAAAAGGAGGAGACGCCAACATGCCTTAGGTCTGACTGACTCCCAAGAGATCAGTCCCAGTGTAGGTACACTCATTATCAGTGGATAAAGGAAAGCCAAAGTGAGTATAACAGCTGTGCAGTAGGCAGCAATGCAGGTCAGTGAATTCTAGAGGAGGTTAGAGCTGTTCTTCAGGGGACAGAAATGATGCATTTGAGTGAAGAAAGTTGAAATGGAACGCCTTTACTTGAGAAGAGGAGGAAAAGGGAAGATAGGGTATATATAGAAAGTGAAAGGCAGAAAGCTTCAAATAGTGAATATAAGTCAAATGTAAAGTCAGATCCTGGAGAGAAGGGACTGTGCTTGGTTTTTGTCTTTTGTGTCTGACAGGCACCCACTGAGTGGGCATTTAAGAAATGCTTGATTGCTTGCCGAATGAATCCACTTTCCATCTCAGTAAATAGCTGGGATGTAGTTAGAGCTTCTTATAGAGATTTGTAAGATTTCTCATCATTTGTCTTTTGGGGTTTTTATTTGAAACTCTTATCTATTTTTCCTAGAGTGGCCAGTAGTCAAAAATCCTTGCCAAACCTACAGAAATACTATGGTATTGTTTCTGAGATATCAGAGAAAAGGAGAAGTTGAAAACCTGCATCAGATTTGACAGGGGATGCCAGGTAGAAAACCTAGTGGTGGCAGGAATGCCAAAGAAGCAGGTGCCCAAGTCCTGGGGATCAGGAGTTATTCTGGAAAAAAGCAATGTCTGGGGGCCTTCATGCTGGCAAGAGGCCCTTTCCTTACACCAAGGCTATCAGTGAGCTGAAGCCCTGGATTATTTTTCCGGTCAGAATGCTAATCAATCCAAATAAAAGCAGTAGATTTGGAGACGGCCTGGGTTTGCCTTCCTCCTCTGCTCCATGTGGCCTTGGGCATGGTCCGTCTTCCTTCTCCCTTCTCCCCTCTGGATCTCAGTTTCCAGCTGTAAATTTCCTTCTACCTCTAAATCCTATAAACCTGTGATCTGACTCTATACTTCACTGCTGGCAGATTGAAAAGGCTGTGGTATAAAAATGACTTTCGGAGCATTTGAGCAGAAATGACTAAGAATTGGACCAGATGATGCCAAATTTGGTTCTCTTCCTTTTGAGCTTATTATAAGCTGACTAATGGTGTTTTCAGCACTGCTGGCTAAAGGTCAGAACTATTTTGAGTCAACATCAAGCAAGACACAAGCAAGCTCCTTGACAAACTCTGCTAATGACAAGATTAGCACCATCTCATCTAACAACAGAGAGGGCGCCCCACGCTGGTGTGGTAAAATTCTGAAGGTAAAAGATGAGCCTTTGTTTCAAATGTAGGGCTTGATGCATTTAGTACAATGTTAACTGTCAACATTTGGAGACCCTCACTATCAAAAGGAATGATTTTTCTTTGGCAGGTCTTACCCAGGACATCTCCCACAACACTAGAGGACACATTTAGGCTGATGGTATAGCTCCTTGTTTAATACCTTGCTTTGTATCCATACTCAATGGGTCAGTCAGTAACGGATCTGTAATGGATCTTTGCATTCTTTTCATGAGAGGTACCTTGTCTGAGGGGAGCCTTCATGACTGCATTTTGATCAATGAAGTAAGAAGAGGCAATAGGTGGTGCCAGAGTGGACTCAGGGAGACCTAAGTTCAAATCCGATTTCAGACATTTGTCGGCTGTGTGACTCTGGGTAATTCACTTAACCCCTCTCTTCCTCCATCTCATCATCTGTAAAATTGTCATAATAGGATCTACCTCTCAGGGCATATTGTGAGGATCAAATGAGATAATATTTGAATACTGCTATCTAAATGCTAGCTATTATTAAGAAGCTTTTTTGAAATTAAGAAACAGTGGAGACAGTTGGAATGTACTTAGGTCCAGCCACTCTTACCTTCATCGCCTTAGGTGCCTTTTCCATTTCCTTACTATATGTACGTGTCAGTCAATAAACATTTATTAAGGATCTACTGTGTGCCAGGCAATGTGCTAAGCTTTGGGGATGTAAGTATGAAAAAGGACAGTCGGTGTCCTCAAGGAGCTCATAGCTGAAAAGTAGGAGATCGGGTCGGGGTACAGCTAGGAAAGGTGCCCAACCAGCGGGCGTGGTGGAAAAGTCAGAGAAGATCCTAAGTAGCACAGCCAAGTGAGAAATGAGCTCTGAGAACATCTCTGTGTGCGTACTTATGTACCTACATGTCTCATACAACAACATACGTGTTGTCTCCCCCAGCTAGAAGAGCACTGATTTTTTAGTTAGGAGCTGGATTCAGATTCTGCCTCTGTGTGCTTTCTAGAGCTATGATCCTGCGACTGCTGATCAGAACAGTGAGCAAGGACTGTTTCCATTTTGTCTTGGAATCGCCAGTGACCAGCGTAGTGCCTGGCACATAGCAGGTCCATAGTAGGAAGGGCATGTTTATGGTATGGAGTGGGGAAGGAAGAAAAAACTCAGGGAACTTGAGAGCTAATTTCAACTATTTGAAACTCTGTCGTGTAGAAGAGGGATTTAACTTGTATTGGGCACTAGAGGACAGAGCCAGGATTAATGACCTAGAAGTTGCAAATGGGCCAATTTCAATTAGACACCAGGAGAACCTTTGAAGCCATTAGAGCAGTTTGGGGTGCCCTGGGAAGCACAGGGCACCCCTTGTCAGCTCTTGAAGCCAAGAGTGGATGCCCACTACTTTACTGTGGTATAGTGGGGGTTCCTTTTGGGGAATGGGTTCAAGGAGATATGAGCCCACCCCTAATCCAACTTGAGTGTTTTGGGCCCTTTTAACTCTGACATTCTCAGATCCTATACTTGGTGCTATCTGTGCCTTTTGAATTCAGTAAACTAGAGAAGTTGCTAATGCTTGAGAAAGTGGGCCTAGTGGATATAGTGCTGGCCTTGGAGTCAGCCTACATCAGAGGCCTCCAACACTTACTAGCATGTGAACCCACTCAAGTCAGTGAAGTTCACTGCACCTCAGTTTCTTTATCTGTAAAACAGGGATAATAATGATAGCACCAATAACACTTTTCTCTGAGGGTTATTGGGAAGGTCAAATAAGTAAATATATGTACTTTTCAGACCTAAAGTTTAAATGTGAGCCGAATTATTATTACTACTGAAGCAAATGATATCAGAAATTTAGTTCCAGGCCTGTCCACAGAGGGATTGGATAAACACAATATGCCAGCAACAATTCTTGTCTGCCATAGTAGATTCACATGAAATCTAGTGCTATGGTGATATAATATAAGAGGAGAATTTTGGAAAATTCCTAAGTGCTTTGAGGTCCCCAGAATAACTGAGAAAGATAAGTACACAAATCAAAGTCAATGATTAGCTAAATAAGAGAAGTACTTACATTTAAAAAACCTAGTCCTATAGCACTGAGTTCCAGCCACTAAGCACCAGTGCAAGTAATAATTTGAGAACTTGACCAGATCATGCATAAAGTATGTACATGCACATATATGTGTATGTGTATGCATACATGTGTGTACATGTGCCTAGTGTTGTCATGACCCATGGTATTTGACCCTAAGGTTGATAAACATACTCGTCCCAAAGCCCTTGTCTCTGTCACACGGCTCAGTCTTGCACCTTTAACTAAGAACACACCTGTGCAGCGAATTGTTCCCTCTAGTGTAGTTTTTACTTGACACTGTTTCTGTGAAAGCCAAGACCTGTGGTAGGTGGGGGAGGCGTGCATGTGCCTTTCTGGTGGATGTCCAGCATCCAAGTATGCTGTGAAGATGTTCTCAAGAGTCTTAGGGAATTTTATTATTTCAAACTATTGGTACCCCCTTTGCATGTCAGCAAACTTGAGAGCAAAACAGGATCTCCTTAAAAAAAGCCCAGCTGGTCTCAAATAGTGCTTATAGCTGCTAGGCCTGAAGTTGGCAGTGATAATGAGGGCCATCTAGACACACAGACATCAGAATGGTTTGGGTGAAAGGAATTGTTATTTTTGCCTGTGGTTTCTTGATGCTTAGCAAAATCACTTTTCAAAGCTGAGCAGTGGAGTTCCTGTCAAAGCCGAGCATTTCTTCTCCTCAGCCCTCCAATCAGGGAAGAAAAACTCAGGGCCCAGGGCCCTTTTTACACTTGTATTCTGATTGCTGATAGCTAGTTAGATCGGGAAGACTGTGATAGTTCAGTACCACTGTCATCACATACATGGCAGTATTGAAAGGATCGGAGTCCTTGCTCTGAAATGGAAGATGTCTTTTCATTACTGACAGACACTAATGACTCCAATGAAGGTAGAAGCACCTCAGTTCAAATGAGAAAAAAATAATAGAATTTAATGGAGCCCTAATTAATTTGCCAATCATTCTGCCCTACTGGCCTTGTTCCTCTGTTTCAGTCTTTATTATAACACACATAATGGAGTGAGGTTCTGCGGTAATTATTTGCACACGTGTCCCTGTTAAGATCTGTTCCTTCCTATCTGCCCCTCCCTCCCATACACAAACAGTTAAGGTGACATATGTGTCTCAACCCTTGAGGCCTTTACCTCCTGGGTAACCTGAATGAACAGCCATTACCAAAGAGATACTGAAGAGTAAAAGCCCATCTCCCTCTCCTTTCTCTTCTCCCTCCCCACCTCCCCCCCCCATGCAGAATACAACCCCTTCAAAACTACATTATGGAGAGAGTGGTCAAATAGTTACCTCTGTTCTCTCTAGTGAGTCTATCTGCCATGTCCCAGTGTTCGTAACCACGAAGTACATTGTTGGTGATGTTAACGTGGCTGGCTGCCATGTGGTGGATTCGGTGAGGAATGACAATAGGTCCCAAGGATGGTAAAGCACTTGATGATGAAGGACTGAGGGACAAAGGTGATGGTGCATCTGTGCTCCTAGGGAAAGGAAAAAGAGTCTCATTCTCATAGCCACGTCATCTCCCTTCCTTTGTCAAGTATTGCAAAAGTCTTTGTTTTTTACTATTTTTTTTCAAATGGATAGAGATACTTTTTGACTGATAAAATATAAATTCATTTAAAAGTCCCACAAAAAATAAGGCATAGTGATGCAGACATTGGAGAACAAAGAGGACATCTTGGAGGCAGAATTTTCATGTGAACTTTGGGACCTTACTAATGCCACTGTCTATCCAGTACATTGAGGAAATCATAGGTCCAGACTCCTCTCCCCTCAATCCCCCAAAAATCCAAGTGCAGTTTGGCATTGGGAAGATATCTCTCAAGTTGGGTGTATCTGAGACAAGCTCTCTAACAGTGTTACACTGAGGCTGTAGTGTATTGGGTTCATCATGATGTCTAGGGAGGGTGAGATTTCGCTAACCCAGCCTGTGGTAGAGTTGAAGTGCAGAGCCTGAACCAGGGATTGGTGTGTACCCTCAGCTACAGGGTAGCCAGTGGGCCTGGAACACCACCATGTGGGGGGGTTTACGGCATGGGGAAGAGCTCATCCCAGTGCCCCAGAGTACAAGAAATGCTGCCAATCCTTCTGAATTGGGTACCCGAGAGCAGTGGTGTCAAACTTGAATAGAAACGGATCCCTGCAGGCTGCATATTGACCTAGAAAACCACAAATGGACATTAAATATGTAGCACTTTTATTTATTTTGTTAAATATTTCCCAATTATGATTTAATCTGGTTCAGCCACATTTGGGAGTTTTGTGCAGCCCTATGCTTGTAGCCCATGAATTTGACACCTCTGCCCCAGAGTAAAGGCCAATTGTCTCTTTTCCCCCTGGATTCTGAACATTCAAAAGTGAAACACTCATCTTCTTCGACCATAGTGCCTGGCTATGTCCATAGTACTGATCTAGCTTGGTAAACTTTGTTTTGGGGCTTTAAGTGACCCCCAAAATGATGACCTCTAAATATATACATAGATGCATGTGTACATGAATGTATTGATGTTTAGGGAACAAACATCACAATCTTTCAGAGAAAGCAGCTCTCTCGTGGCCATGGTGATTTTCCTACCTGCCACCAGAAGCAATGATTGGCAGTTAGCAAACACTTGCTGGCCCATTACTGGAGTGTTTTGTGGAAACCACAATGACAGTTTGCTACAAATCCAGTCACCACAATAAGCAAAGTTCAACTCTTAAAAGTCCCCTGTGGAGCTGCATTAGAAACTAGAGGCCAAGTAGGTCCATGAATGTCTCACTAGGGTTCTTGAAGGCCTGCTCTGGACATCTGCTCTTAATTGCTGACAGTTCCTCTGTGTGTTGCCTATATAAAGAGGAAGGTTTTGAGTTATCCACTTAGTGTAGGACTAATGTTCTGATATCGATTTTCTTTGAATTCTAACACTAGCAATTAGGAATCATCTGCTGGCTGCCCACTGTGTGGGGGTCATCTGTGGCTATCTCTCCTCACATGGTTTAGATTCATGTGGCTAAAAATCATTCAGGGTTATTCTCTTTGGGAATAGATTTCCAAATCCACAGTCAAGGTTTGTAAATTCCTCAGCTTCTCATCTTCCTTCAAACTGCTTCCCAGGCAAATATATTGGCTTATCCCTGGAAAACCTACTCGGGAAACCAGTGTGAGAGAAGAGAAATGCCTTGTTAGTAATACAGTGTGTCTCTCTCTCCCTTTTCTTTCAGTCTTTCAAAGGAAAATTCCACATAGAAATCCTGATAATTCTCTCTTTATCAACTGTTGCTACATATAAGAAATGAGGGTGACTTCAGGTCTGTCAGTCTCCTACTGGGCAAGCCCTCTCAAATCATGACAGAGAATACTTCCTCTCTGAATGGCCATGTGTATACCCTAAATAGTAAAAATGCATGAATGAATGAGAGGACATCCCCTAATAACCTTAAGACACAGTAATGCTGAATGTCCACAGATGAAATCTGAGAGTGTGCTTCCTGCCTGGTTAACGGAGCCCCTTCTGTAAACCATGTATACACATATGAGCTCCCTTTGGCTTAGATTGGGAGAAAGTATAGAATGGCAATAAAAAACTCAGTCTTCATGCCCATAGATATCTGCCTCCATGCTAGGCTTCCCCTTGTCTGGTATAAAATGGTGTGAGATTCTTCCTGCCATCTTAGTAACCAGTCACTAGAAGCCATGGGTTTTATAGGAAGACAGGTTAGAAAGAAATGTTGCATTCCTTGTTGATGGGATAGTACACAGCATCATTGGCTGCATCCAAGCAGTGGCCGTAGCCAGAGAGAGAAGTCCATACAGATGTGTTCCATTTGACCAGCCTCCACTTACTATATGATAGACCTTTTCTATATCATTATCAGTCATTAGGAAAATGATTAGGAAAACACCACACCAGGATCGACTATAAATGAATTTGACTTGGAGCATTTTTGTTTTCACGCTAGGCTATGAACTGACGTTAGAGTATGGATGCCTGAACTCAGTATTTGTACCAGTGAAATGAAGAATGAATAATAATCATGATCTAGAATTGTTATAACCCCCTGATGTCTGGGGAATAATTGTCAGTGGACTATCTACTTTTTGGAATTCTTCTGTTTGATGCCAGCACATTAGGAATCACTGATATTGTCAGCACCAGGAAACCTGCCACTTCTGGAGATGGAGACCTCTTCAGAACTGACCATTTAGGATTAGAGAAGGCAAGTGTGTTGCTTAGGGTTGCACGGCTTATGCCATAGATAGGAGTGGAACCCTGATCTTCCTAACTTTAGGCCCCACTGCTTCTCTGATTCACCTATTATACATTCCTTAGAACAATTCCCAGAATGGCTGTTCTAGACCTTGTCTTTTCAGGTCACAAATCCCTTTCTGCTGTGGCTGACCTGAGCACCTAGAATGTTTTAGGTAGATACTGTGGTAGATGCAAATAAGATTAAGATCTTGTCCCTAACTTCCAAGTCTAGCAGAAGAGAGACATGAACACAAGTAATTATAATGCAAGGTAGGCCGTGACAAAATGCTCCCGGGGGGGGAGGGGCAGTGGGCTTCGGTGGCAGGAGGCATCATCTCTGGCTTTCACACCCAAGAGGATAAACCGACTTCTTACTTGTAAAAAAAAAAATGAAGCAGGCATTTCTTTACTCATGTGAATTCTTCCCTCCAGTCTCAGAGGAATTTTTTGGGCTCTACTAATGGCCAACTGTATCCCTTTCCTTGCTGACTCTTAAAGGCCATTGCCCTGAAACTTTGCCAGCAACGTCTTCAAGTGCTGTTGTCTCCTCTGTCTAAAAGCATCCCCTGCCCCACATGTGCACAGGTGTTTCTCTTACTTTTAAAAGCAACCAAAACCAAACCCTCTCATGACTTTACAGTGCCCTTGTAGCTGGTATGTTTCTCTCCTTTGTTTCATATCGAATTTCTCAAATGAGTAGTCTCTAACCGTTACCTCTTTGGCTGCCATCCTTATTTTGCCAGTGAAATTGCCCCTTTAAAGATCAGTAGTAATTTCTTCCTTCCTCCCTCTCTTTCTTCCTCTACCTCTCTGGTGCCATTTGACACTGCTGCTACTCCCTCCCTGTATGGTTTCCATTCCATGACGCTAGCCTGTTTTGGTTCTTTGACTTCTTCTCTAACTGTTCCTGTCCCTTCCCACTTTCTAATCCTGGGTATTCGCCAAGTTTCAGTTCCTTGCTCTTCTTGACATACTCGGCCTCCAGGACCGATATAAGGAAAATCTCCCTGACTAGAACGGCGGTAAAATGATGGAATTGCTGCTAAGGGATGCTAAAGTCCCTCTTTTTGTGGCATCAAGCCCGCATGGCTGGAATGACTGAAATTCAGTCTTTCTTGGAGGTAAGGAGACTGCAATAATTGACCTACAGAGGTTATTTTTCATCCCATCATTCAAAAGCTTTAGGACCTAAGTGAGTGGGCTTTCTTTGTAAAGAAGTTGCTTTCTTAAAACTGTTTGAAGGCCCTTTTTGAATTCGACTTGGCAAGCTCGAGTATGTATTTAAACTCTTTCATTTTTGAATTTAAAAAATGCTCTTACTTCTTAAGAGCTACTTGTCTCACTCTGCCCATTCTCTATTTGTGTGCAGGGAATAGGTCTCCCTGGGCTTTTCCATTTTTATCTTCTGAACTCCCAAGCAGAATCTTTTATCCACTCTATGTATCAATATCAGAGCAGGGCCCAATTCAATCATTCAAGTGTGATAAGTTATTGCTTTTTTAAAAATGAAGCTTTTCCTTCATTATGAATATGGAAATGATATTGAAGAAATTATGTCTGCACCTGTAGTATCTTGTCTCAGTATTTAGAGAAAGAGGATCAGTTATACTTGAAATAGGAAAGTGTGAAAAGCTACTGACAACGGGGACTCGTATTTATAAGGGCACTTTTCCTTTCTAAAGTGTTTTCCACATAATTTAATTTACTTTCACATCTGTGTGAGAGATGAAGGGCAGGTGGCATCATTTTTACTTGATTAAACGCCTTGGGTGTGCCAGAAATTGGGGCTCTAGAACCTAAAATGAGCTCAGCACCAGGTCTCAGGGAGCCCCCCTTCTCTTTGCCATTAGCTGTGCCCTTCTCCTTTATCCTTCCGATCCACTCATTCTTATCAGGCCCTGTCACTCTCTTCTCCTTCACCTTGCCCCAACACCCTTCTCCTCATCACTTCCTTCCCATTCTCTTTTCATCTCATGCTCAGTTCTTTGATCATTTTTTATTTTGTTTGTATATATTTCCTTAGACAACATTTTTTCTCTGAGGACCACCTGAACTGTATGCACTCCCCCGTGTTCTGCCCTTCCCTTTTACATACTCTCCCATTATCTGTTTCATTGTTCAGGGTGCTGTTGTTTAGTTTCTGTCTGTGGTTTATTTATGTTTTTGCTTGTGTCCCCCATATTACTATTTTTATTGTATTACAGAACACGTTTAATATTTTTGCCTTTTGTACTTTAGCAATTTTTATGTGCCCGAACACATATTTTACATATTAGTGTTGCTTCCCCTCCCCCCTGCAATTAGTGTTGTTGATACTAATTGGATCTCAGTCTTCAGCCATCAGCTCTCTGGTTTTCTGCTCTGTTACAAGCTTCTTGAATTTCCTGAAATTATTTTGCTTGCAGTTGTTTCTCTCCTTTCTTCTCTCTCCCTGCCCAGATGAGAGTATTGTTTGGAATCCCTTTTGTTCCCTCACTCTCCCTCTTTTTGCTATTGCCTTTCTTTACTTCACTTACTCTCTCCTCTCCCCTTCTTGACCTAGAATCCCTCCTCTGGTACTCTCTTTTCTTCCCTCTTGGTTTCTCTTTTCTCTCCATTCCTTTTATTCCCTCCCTCTCTGTCTCCTGACTCTTTCCTCACCTCCTACAAACACATTCAGATTATACTGGCCATCCTTACAGACATCCTGGTCCCTGCTAACTCCTAGGGTTCTCTTCTGGAGTCCTCTCAAGTATCCCTTCTACTTCCCTATGTCTTAGTCCCATGTAGCTGGGCTTCTGCCTCCACCGCTAGATTCAAACTTTGTGAGCTGATCACCTTTTCTTAGTCATCACCTTTGACTTCTCATTTGTGCCTATGAATCCAAAAATCATCTCTCCACAGAAAACTCCCAAGTTTCTCTATCTAGTCATACATCATTGACTGCTTGTTCATATATGGTCTTCTTAGATGTCTGGTAGTCATCTCAAATTCACCATGTCAAAAACAGAACCCAATATCTTCCCCCACTCTCAAATTTTCTCTTTTCGTTGAGTGGGTCACACCATTCTAGTCAGTCCATTTCCCAGCCTTGGAATCATCCCTGACTTTTCACTTTCCTCCTGGATCCTGGATTGTCCCGAATCCAGGCACTTGCTAGGATGCTCACCACCATCGTTCAGGCCCTTGTCACCTATTGCCTGGACTACCGTGATAGCCTCCTAACCGGTCTCCCTGCCACCAGTCTCTCCCCTTTCCGATCCATCTTCCACACAGCTGCCAAAAAAATCTTCCGAAGGCATAGGATGGACTGTGTTATTGCTTTGCTCAAAAAGCCGGTTGGCTCTTCCCTATATTACCTCTAGGATAAAACATAAACTACTCAGCTTAGCATTTAAATCCTTTCACAATCTGGTTCCAGTCTATCTTTTGAGGCCTGCTGCATAGAAATCACCGCCCCCTCCCCATTCCCTTCCAGGAATTCTCCTTCTCAGCCAAACTGGGTTATCAGGGGTTTTCCCTTGAACTGGACACTCCATCTCCCCCCTCCCCCTCCTACATTTGCATTTAATCAACAAGCATTTTATTAAGAGCTTCATGTGACATGGCCCCAGTCCTCAAAGAGTTTACACTTTATTGGAGGTGCACAATAGGCTCACAGACTCCAGACAAAATAAAGATGCAGTAATTTGGGTACGGTGGGGCACTAAAACCTAGAAGGAAGTGCTTCTAGAAATGAGTGGCACTGGAGCTGAGCCTTGCTATGTATGAACTAAGGATTCCAAGACGCAAAGATGAGGAGGGAAAGCTTGGAGGACAGCCCATGTGCAAAAGCGTTGAGGTGGGAGATGAAATGTCACGTAAGGGGCAAGTTGACCAATTTGATTCATAGAGAGAGAGAAATGTATGATCAGCTGGGAAAGCTGGGACGGAGCTAGACTGCAAGGAGCTTAAAGTGCTGAACAGATATGCTTGTATTTATCCTAGAGGCACTGGGGAGCCATGGATGCTGCTCCGGCTGGCACATGGATGCTGTGTAGAGAATGGAGAGGAAGGGAGGAGACTGGCTGCAGGGAGGCCAGTTCAGAAGCTGTTGCTCTAGTCTAGACCACGGGGGATGGAGGTGGTTGGAGACAAGTTGAGGAGATATGATTGACAAGACCTGGCAGCTGATGTCTTTGGTGACGCCTTTCTTGTTATTCCTCTACTTGCTACTCTTTATACACACATAACAAAGTGTCTTGAGCATATTCAAAGTTGGAAAGGTCTATAGGGAAATTTTGTTGTGGGAATGCCTTCAAGCCGACTTGCCTGTGACTTTGTAGATGAGTCCAGTCCTACTGCCTGGCTCCTGCACAGCTGGCAAATGCCAGAGGCGGAATCTGCACCCAGGGTCTGGTGACCCCATGCCTAGTGGCTGAGCAGCTGCACCCTGCTGTCTCTAGTCTGTGTGCCTTGCATGAAGTAGGTACTTAGCAAATGTTTGTTTTTTTTAACTTAACCGTTTGTTGTTATAGTTGTTGTTATAAGCGGGGAAATCCAGAGATTTTACCTGTAGTCATTTAGTACCAGTAGTATATGGTCTCTTTGCCATTTCTGAATTGGACTATACAGCTTTCCGAGTACCTCAGAGATTGTGTCCAACATTCCAAATCGCACTCTTAAAAGAAACCTTTTGTAGAGGTAGAAGGGGCCTTAAAAAGAACTAGTCCAACTCCCTCCCATGGCAAAGGAGAAAACTGAGGCACAGTCCATGATCAACAGCTAGTCAGTGTTCTGTAGAAGCTGGGGTGGAACCCAGGTTTCCTGATGCCCTCTCTAAGAATGAGGGCCCTGAAGTATTGATGCGCTTCGCATAAGGCCACCCTAGTGAGATGGTTTCATTGAGCCTCATATCATCATTACATGATATGATTTTATATTTTAGGTCAGGGTATTTTAGCATTAATATAAAACCTGTCATTATGGCTCAGATAATTGGCTGACTAAGTGCCTTTCCATTTTCACCACTATTCCGTCTTAATTTTATTAAACAGCACTTACCATATATCAATGAATATTTCATTGGTCTTTCATTACTGAGTGAATTATTGAAAAATAGTTGTATTGGCAGTTAACTTTCCTTTAACTCCCTGAAATGGTGGTACTTGCCACCTAATTAGTAGCTCTTTTTATGACCCTCATTTGGCTTAAAGATCAAAGGGACCAAGAATCTGGCGTCCAGTCACCTTTGCCAAAGCCTGGGACCAGAACTATGGGATGCACAGAAACCACCCTCATTGAGGAACTGACCTTCATTCTGGAGTTGTAAATGTAGAAGTATTTTTGGCCTAGAAAAATCATTCCTTTTCATGAAGAAGAAAGTCATTTTTAGAAAATACTTACTTTCCACAGCTTCCCCATGGAGATGGTATCTGGGCAGCCTTGGAAGAAGTCTGTTAAAAAAGAGAGAGAGAAAATGAGGAAATCTATTTTGTAATTTATTAATTCAGAAACAGATGGAAGTGTGATTTAAAGTACATTAATATTGATTAGAGCATTCCTGGCTGCCTCCTGTTTCGTTAGCAGGAGCTGGAATGTGTGTATGCAGCATGTCAGCACCCAATGCACAGTGCTTGATGAAAATAGCTGGTTAGGATAATTAGTGGGCTCCAATCAGAACCATGAAAGTCACTTGATGAAAGATATGAGCTACTAAAAGGCCCAGTGAAATCAGAATCAGTTTTCTAAGAAGTGGCTTAATTATCCTTGTATGAAATTTAGTCTGCAAAACAGGTTCTTGTGAGTGCAAAAAGCTGGTCACCTTTAGCAGGAAGGAAAAACTTTTCCCAGGTGGAAAGATGCCACCTGCAAGGGGGGTAGGGCCCATGTGAAGTAGGTGGGAGGAGACACTTTTAGATTCTTTAAGAAGGTGGGCTGTAGACAGGAAGACCAACTTTATGGAATTAAAGCAGCCCTCTCAAGGATCTTTTCTGGCATTTTGCCACTCTTTTCATTTACAAGGGATACTGTTTTTCTACTTCCTGGTAGAATTGGAATGACTTCAAGAACAAACTGTTAGTATATTTGTGTACATGAACTGGTGGAGGAAGGAGGAACCAAGAAATCCCTCTGAGTCCAACAGTAACAGGCCCAGAACTGAGTAGGGCCAGGCCTTTGTCAGCTGTCATCCACTTTGGGAAGCAAGCCTTGGTGATCCCCCAACCCTCTGCCGACCCCTGCTGGGCCCCAGCACCACCTACTGTCACGACCAGGGGGCACTGACAGGTCGGCAAGGCCAAGAACCCTAAGAAGGGCAGCATCCCCCAGCCCAGTGGCTTTGATTCCAGCCTGGCTCCTACAGCTGTAATCCAGGGATTATAACTCTTGGGGAGATGGAACCTAGCAACTGACTCTGAAGGGGCTGTAACCCTCGCCTCTTCGGCAGCCCTAGCTACTGAAAACCCAGAAAAGAAAGTTTTTGCCGTCTAGGTCCTTGGGATTGGCAAATGGTTGGACACTAGGGTTTTGTTATTGCTCAGTTGTTCTGGTCGTGTCTGACTTTTTGTGACCCCATTTGAGATTTTCTTGGCAAAGATACTAGAATGGTTTGCATTTCCTTCTCCAGCTTATTTTACAGATGAGGAAACTAAGGCAAACAGGGTGAAGTGACTTGCCCAGGGTCACACAGCTGGTAAGTAAGTGTCTGAGGCTGGATTTGAACTCAGGAAGATGAGTCTTCCTGACTCCAGGCCCAGCGCTGTATACACTGCAGCGCCACCTAGCTGCCCTGACATCAGGATAGCTGGCATTGACCTATCAATTTAAGATTTGCGAAGCACTTTACATATATTAGCTCTTTTAATCCTCACAATAATTCTGTGAAGTAGGTGCTAGTATTTTCTCCATTTTATGGAACTGAGGCAGGCCAGAGGTTCAGTGACTTGCTCAAGATCACACAGCTAGGAAGTATCGGAGGTGGGATCTGAACTTGGGTCTTCCCAACTCCACATCTAGTGCTCTACCCCCTTCACCACCAGCTAGTATGGTTTTATTAATGGAAATTACTTTAAAGAAAATGCATTTCCATTCCAAAGGGCTTGTACTTGGACCCTCTTTCTATAGATGCATTTCTCCTTATTACCGTGTAAGCCCCTCGAGAACAGGACCTGTCTTGCTTTTCACATCCAGCATTGAGCAGTGTTCTACACAGAGGAAGCTCTTAATAAAGGATTTATCATTCATTCATTTGTCCTTAGAGCCTATCTGCTTCCCTTGTATCAAGCCCCATGTAGGTATAAGCAATGTTATTTTTACAAGAACCTTGTTTTACTCTATGCGCCATAACCAACTAGCATCCAGAAGTCAACTTCTTCCTGTGACTAGGTGCCTTTCAGGCAATCCCTGGGGACCAGCCCAGTTCAGGCCCTAGATATCGCAGAGAGATGGTAACTATTTTCCCCCATAAAATGCCCTTTTCATTAGCAGTGGTATTTACATGAGAGGTTGCTTTACACACACAGTTTAATGATTTTAAAACTTTGGGCCCAATTCGTATAAGTTTTAAGTCACTGTCTAACTTGGTGGTTCTTTCTAATTCGTTCAAGTCATTGGAAAGAGGAGGACGAGGTACATCTGATTCCTTAGCCCCAGGTGCCAGCTTGAATTTCTTTCCCATTTCCCATAGGCCTTAAGACTTTTCTGCTGCTTTTCCTCAGGGAATATGGATCCCCTAGGTTTTGTTGTTGGGAAACCGTGTCCAAACTTATCTAAGAGTTGTTCTCTCTTTAGAGCTTAAACCAAAAGTGAAGAGATTCTGGTGAAAGAGAGAGTTCTATCTCTTCTTCTCATCCCTCTTCTAAGATATTGCTGGATTCTTGTTTTTTTGGTCCTTGGGCCCCTATTCACTGCCCCTCCCACTGTGGTGTGATGCCTTGCCTATATGTCACCCAATCCAAACGACCTTGCCTATCTCTGGTCAACTCCATCAGAGCGTCAGATCTCTTAGAAAAGTCTGATTTTAAGCTTCTTATAGTGAAATTTTTGGCTGTGCCATTTTTGTCATGAGACTGCCTCTTGTGATATTGTTTCTCCAAGAGTTGAATTTGGAATCAAGTCAGGTGAGCAGGCAGGTAATTTGGCCTATTTTTAAGGCCTAACTCCCCTAGATATCATCCATGATATTTCTGGTAAAACACCACTTTGGTCCGAATTCCCTTCCCGGGGAGTTGGGTGCAGTGACAGGGACAGGTGTCTCTTCTAGTTTCCCCCACACTCCCCTAGGGAAGCTGAGGAGGGGAGTGTCTCTGGAGCCTCATGGCATCTCTGGGCCTGTACTTCAGGCTCCCTGCCCTCCCAAGCCACTTGCACCTGGAAGCACTCCAGCTGACACCACTCTCCTCATACTTCTGACGTCTACACATTACTCCAAATCAACTTGTTATTTTATGGATAAACTTCTCTGTTTAGCTGTAATCCCCTTACAACCTTGCCCCAATCTATCTTTTTAGCCTCATTGGACATTAATCCTCTTCATGAATCCTGTAATCCAACCAAAATGGCTTTTCTCTGTGTTGCTCACATGCTATACATATGGATGTAATATACTAGAGACACACACATACCTCCTGTTCATTTCCCATCTCTGTACCTTTGTACAGGCTGTTCCCCATGCATGCCTAGAATACAAGCACCCCTCCCTGTCTTTCTTAAAGACACAGCAGCTTCTACATGAAACTTTTGCTGATACCTGTAAAGAATCCCACCTTTCCTCTCAAACTGTCTTGGAAGGCTCCACTTTATACCGATTCTCTTTATACCTGTCTGTACAAACCTACCTGTCTTTGTTGTCTCCTCATCAGAAATGAAGCCCCCCACAGGCTCTCGTTCATTATATTTGTACCCTCAGGGCTCGGTACCAGTGATCATGTTAAGTCCTAGTGGGCTGCCTACTGGCTGTAAGTCTGCCTGACTCTGGAGAATTTCTCCTTGGGCACTTCAGGATTTGCTGATTCTACTCTCCTGTGCCTCCCCGAAAGCAATCTTCTCTCGGATTCCTTATAAGGTTCTGATAAGACAATGAGGTGGTGATTTCCTTACCTGGCAGGTCCCAAAAACTACAGTAAGTGGCCTTGTGGAATGAGCCTTTTAGTTTCAGACTGAAGCCCACAGAGCCTCAGATGATGGGCCTTTCTGAAGCCTGCCAAATCTTGTGTTTGAAGACTCCATGGGAGGTTGTGTAGCATACTGCATAGACCGCTGGACGTTGATAAGGAGCTGTGCCCCCACCCCTTAATACTGACTGGGAGATCTTGGGTGAGGCCTGGAGCCTTGGTTTCCTCATTTGTGAAATGGAGCCAGTAATATTTGTATCACCTCCCTTGTGGGATTTTGGGGGAGGATCCAAAGAGCTAATGGGTGAGCGGGCTTGACAAGTAGAAAACATTTTAAAAAGGTGCACTGCAGCTTCGGTGAGGGAGTTAATTTAACTCTGCCTTCTACCCTGAGCTCTCTATAGTCACTTGGTTATTGTTGCCTTTTGTGGGAAGGATTTATGATAAATTCTTGCCCTTTCTCTGCTAAGAGAGACAGCGGACCTTGTACCTGTTTAATGGTTATTGTCCCTATTCCCGCACACTCACTGGTTTTCCCAAAGGGACTTCAGTGCAGAGAGGGACAGAAGGCATGCTCTGACTGTAAACATGACTTTCAAATATCACTGAAACTGCCAAAGGCCATTTTTGTCAATCAGGCCAATATTGAGGTGACTGAACCATTTTATTTTCTCTTCTGTGACCCAAATCAAATGTAAGCACAGAGCTGGGTCCCTAAGGAGGGGTGGGCAGGACCCTGCAGAAATGGAAAGAGGCAGTGGCTTCCCCAGTCAGTGTAACCTTGCTGCCAAAAATCCTGTTCTTTGCAAATTGACATTTAATAACGTTCCTGTCAGATCTCATTAGTCATTTCATTCACCAGCTCTCTCCAAAAGATACAAAATAAGGATTACCTTAAAATATTCCATCAGAGATCTGGAATACTTCATAGCATGGTCCCTCTTTAGCTTGAACATTCTCAAGTACAGGAGTGATAAGCATCGGTAGCTGTGGTAATTAGGAAAGGATTATGTTAATTCCAGTGTTTAATGAAACCTATAAACTGTATAAAAAAGGCAATATGTATGTATTTTTAGTTTCTTTTCAAAGGCTAGATAGACTGAGAAATATAAGAAAATAATGGAAAAAGTGGGGGAGGGGAGAGAGAAGCATTAAAATCCCATCTTGATAACGGTATAAATGAGAAAGCTAAATGTTTAGTCAGCTGCTGAGGCCATCCATTAGTTATCCTTTAATAGTTTAATAGAAAACAAGAATAATGGTCTGGTCTAAGCAGCTTATGGAATTCTGGAGCTCTAAAGTCTTTTTTTTTCCCCAAACTTCTAGTTGCTTCCTCATGTTGTCCATGGGACTCACCATAAAATCGCAAGTCTCTTGTCCCATTCGGTGGCAGAAGAGCAGGTGAAATTCTTGAGCCTCAGGGCGTACCTTTGGAAATAAAGAAAACATTCAGTGCTCCTTGAAGGCCAGAACCTCCATGCCCAGGAGCTCGAGAGCTCTTTTATGCAGAAGCATGAAGATAAGCACAGAAAGTGTGGGAAATCACAGTCAGAACAGTTTGCTGTCATATCCTGAAGCTAAAGCAAGCACAACTCTTTTCTGGACAGTGGTGAATGACCTTCTTTGAAATACTGGAAACACAGGAATCCTGAACTCCCTGGGAGCTCCTCCGTAGGGGCTTTCCCCCTTGTGATGCTGCTCACGGCCCGTCATTGGCACCTTTGGGTTATGCCCTTCATAAACTTTCTAATGGGGATGGGCCTTCATTGTGTTCTCCAGACGGGAGAGGAGGGAGGGATGGCACCAATGGGGTTTCTTGATTGTCCCCCATTCTGGGAGAAACCCTCCATTTTTTCTGGTAATGCCCTTCTCTGATGACATCCTTTCTAGCATTCTGCATAACTTCTCTCTTTTTAAAATTTTTTTTAAGGCAATTGGGGTTAAATGACTTGCCCAGGGTCACACAGCTAGTAAGTGTCAAGTGTTTGGTCTGAGGCTGGATTTGAACTCAGGTCCTCCTGACTCCAGGGCCGTTGCTCCATCCACTGCACCACTTAGCTGCCCCTGATAAGTTCTCTCTTGCATTCTGCTCATACTCTCCAGTCAATACTTTTCCGGGATTTTTTGTGGGAATCTCTTTTATATACTTACATGTATGCATCATACATACATACATACATACATTACACATTAGAGGTGCCTTGGTGCCAGGAAGGCCCAAGTTCAGTCAAGTTCTGTCTTGAATGCCTGCTGACCCTGGGACCCTAGGTGGATAAGATGTCCCCTCTGGGTCCCAGGCACCTCTCTCAGGCAAGAAATTGTAGAAGAGCAGCTAGTCTGGCTGGGAAAACTTCCTTTCCCAATGCTGAGTTCCCCACCAGAGGGAGGCACCTGTCAGGGCACCTGGAACTTCATCTCTACACAAAACCCCCATGTTTACCTATGGACAGACAAACGTGGCACAGGGGAGTCAGAAAGACTCATCTTTGTGAGTTCAAATCTATCCTCAGATACTTCTCAGCTGTGTGACCCTGGGCAACTCGCTGAACTTCTGTCTGCCTCAGTTTCTTCATCTGTAAAATGGGGATCACAATAGCACCTACCTCCCAGGGTTGTTGTGAAGATCTGATGAGATAATATTTGTCAAGTGTTTAGCACAGTGCCTGGCACACAGTAGGTGCTATATAAATGTGAGCTATTCGTTATGATGATGTAATATCCATCTGACTGTTGGTATTCTAGGATCACTTCTCCAGCTGGTTAGGACCTTGGAGATAACCTGGTCTAACTCCTCTCATGTTACAGATAAGTAAAGGGAAGTGACTTACTCCAGGTCACAAAAGTAATGAGGGGCAGGGCTGGGATTGGAATCCACAATAGAGAATTTCATGTTCCACATTCTCTACACTGCCCCCTTGCAGGGAAGTGATCCTATCACACCTATATTTTGGGGAACACGAGGTGGGCAGCGCACTGATGGGCAGGTGGTAGGCAAAAAGGCGTGCAGGTGGTAATTCACTGTATCTGTGGGTCACAGATGTGCTTGACTCGATGCCAGCTCTGACACCAGCCCTATGGGGTTTCATCTTCTAACTAGGCTCTAAAAAGCTTCTTCAGTATTTTCTAGACAAGCTCACTTCCAAGATCTGTGTCTCATTCACTTAGAGGGCCACTGTGTTGTTGTTGCTGGTTTCTAAAATTCCTTCCTCCTCCCTTACAAACATATTACTGTTTCCCACTTGGGTGAGAAAAGGGTGAAGGTGCCGCCTTCTTTCCCCCTCCTTTTTTCCCTTTTAACTAAGCACTCTCCATTCAGTGCATTGAGGCTCTTGAAAATCAATTCATTGCATAAAATCATTGTACTGAGCTTTAATGCAACTTCACAGGTACTTGTGCTAGAGTAAGTAATAGGGTTCAGTGTGGCATCAGGAAGTTTAAAGGTATATGAAAGCTTTGATGAGTTCTCATTTACAAGGAGGTGATGGAGTGCAGGCAGGAGCTCAGTGCCACAGGAATCCTAACTTCTCTCATCGAGGCTCCCACCCCCACCCCAGTGAGACAAACTCTGAGGGGCTCCAATTCTGCTTCCTCTTGCTCCGTTACATCCCTGGCCCTGGTGAGTGCCCATTTTCAGACACAGGGACTTGATGCATGCCACTCCCACCCCCTCCCCCACTCATACAATGTAAAGCATAGTTTTATCATGCAATAAACCCCACTTCCTTTCCTAGCAGGATCAGAGGCCTATCAAGGGCTCTGAAACATTTAAGTACTATCGAACTGTAAGGGGCTAGTGGCAATGAGGAATGCATTTCACCTGGCATTATTTTTCTCCTAAGGTCTAGAAATATCCCATAGCTTGCAAAATAAATCGAGGAAATGGTGGGGGGTGGGGTGGGGGGGTGGCGCTTCACTAGTGTCTCCCCGCCCTCTTTAGTGGGGATGAGATGTACACCAAGAGCAGAGGGAAAGGATGGAGATTTCCCATCAATCCCTTTGCTTTGGTGAAGTTGACCTGGCCCCTTAGTTTATCTTGTTTAATTGAGATCACTCTCCAATCATTAGTTACACTCGGTCTCTATCCTGTATGTAAATATGTGTTGCCACTCTGTAAGCAGAAGAGTGAGCGTTATGAACTGAGAGACCATGTGGGTCTGCCAGAGGAAGGACTATTCACGAGGCGGGGTATCAAGGCCCAATTTCCAACTGAGTTGTTGTTACAGGCCCCTGAAGCATGGCGCAGTTGGAAAGAGCCCTTGGATCAGGAGATCTGGTTCTCTCATTTCCCAGATGAGTAACCGGGGCTGTCAGTTGGGACACTCTCTCAGGTCCCTCCTGGCTCTAACAATGGATGCTCTGCAAGGATCAGAGGGGATACTTTTTCCTTTTTTTTTTTCTTACGTATGTGCCTTAAATGACTTTTGTCTCGTCCGCAACCTAGACCAATAGCCTGGAAAATTTCATTTTTTTAAAAGTAAATGACACCAGGAAACTTTGTAGTTTAATCTCTCCCCTCTCCTCTTCCCCTTTTCACCCTCCTCTCCCTCAAATGCCAGTACAAATGGAAAAAAAAAAGTCTGTTCTCCATCTGTGACCTTAAATGCCAACTTGGAGCTCAGAACAATTTTTTATAATCAGGACAGAAAACAGGGTTTATAATGGAAATCCTGATAGCCCCACTTTAGGGATTTTGAATTATAAAACTACACCTTTTAAAAGACAAGTGTCGTTGCCAAACGGTGAAATGACTATACTTTATTTCCACCCACTACATTTCCATTTTAATTTTATGAATATTGCAAATGATAACACTCACATTATAACCTCTAAAGGGGCTAATTTATAAAAGCAGTGTCCATCAATTATAAATTTTCCATGACATTAATAAAATGGCAAGAACTAATTATGATGACTTCAGAAATGAAGATGCCTTGGACAAATCATTAATATGTTGAAATGATATTTTTTAAAACATAGCAGGTTCTAATTATGACTGAAATGAGATAATGAAAATGATCACAGTAAGGACATTAACCTGATGAGCTCCACAGTTTCAGAGTACATGGTGTATGGAGATTTTGCCTCCAGTGGGTCCCGCTCCATTGCGTTGCCGCACTCGATGAAGGAGAGGGCCGCATCAGTGTAATATACGGCTTTGCCAAACTTCTCTACCTGAAATGGACAAATGGTTGTTCAGCTTTTCTCCTTCAAAAAGAGAGATCACACAAAGAATGGGACACTTTTTAAAAGGTATCCATTCCCCTCGAGGATAAATGGATTGACTTTTGGAGGTGACTATGTCACACAAAAAATGAAGGAGATTTTTTTGTTAAAATGCAGTCCAGCCACCCTTTCCTCCCCTCCCTTGGTGGGAGACGGGTAGACTGCCTCGATGACACCCAGCTGCCAATTTGACTGAAATTGTAGCCTAGAGTCCATTTTTCCCTACTGCTTTGATTCACTGCTCATTGTGAGCACCCTGCTACACAGGAGAGAAGTAACAGATTGGTGCCATTTGTCATGAGAAACGTGAAGTTGTGGTAGGGCTGTTGACAAAAATCTATAGTGTCAAAAAGCTCCAAACACAGCATTCCGAAATATTTTATTTCAGGAGAATTTAATGGCAAAAGGGTTTATCTCTGATAATGGTCATCCTGAAACTGACTCAGGCATCCTGATTTCTTTTGATGTGTAATGAATATTGTATATGACATTTTCTACTGAGGATTTGATAAGAGTATTTAACATTTTCCATTTCTGATAGCTATATGTGCACTTTCCACTAATACGATCTTTTATGTTAAACGACCAATATAATGCTTTTTGACAATTTGTCTCTATATCTCTTATCAAAATGTTTTCTAGGCAACTGTAAGGGTTTCAGTTCTCAAAACGGCACAGCAGCTATCTCTACCAAAGGATTAAAGAACACTGGAGAATGATCCAAGTTACAGATCCAGCTGAATCTGCTGGGACAGTGGCTCCCTCTTCTTAAAATGAATACATGTGCTTCAGCTTTTATGTACTGCAGAAAACCATAGCTTAATGTCTGTAAACTGTTGGGTAAATATTTATTTGCATGAAATTCAGCCTTTCAATCAAAGCTATTCTGGGAAAACCTGTGCATCCATGTGAGAGATTTCGGTGGTGGTGTTTTCTTTTCCCTCTCCTCTCACAAGGTACTTTCCTTTAGCCTTGAGGCTCCCAGCCTCAGGTTGGCCTGTCTTTTGGGGACTCTTATCCCCAATTTTTGACCTCTTTTCCTGGAGCTGTCTGGTGCGGTTATACCTGCATTGGTGGCAGGCAGACCCCACCTGAGAAGGGGAAAGGCTGATGCCTGGTCTTAAGTAATTTCTCCATCTCACTTGTTTTAACTTTTGGAGAAATTTGCCTTTGCATAGTGCTCAGGTGTCCAGCTTGGCTGGGTCACATCTGCTCACGTAAAGGACATTTGACTTACTTGCTTATTTGGGCTCTGACTGAGGATGGAAGACCTGAGGCCCTCCCTCAGCTGTGCTAGCAATTTGTGGACTTCTAGAGGGAGCTACCATCACAGGCCTTTTAGTTCTCCTTTGATGCCTGCACTAGTCACATGCCCCCATCCTCCCAGCATCTTGAACAGAGCTGGCAATTTTGCATGTCTCCTTCATGTGAGTTTGGAGGCTCATGAAACAATTATTTCTGAAGGGATGATTCTGCCCAGGGGGATGTTAGTCCCAGACAGCAGCTGTATGACTTTATTTGACCAAAGGAGGAACAAAAATGACAGCTTGTGAGGCACATGTGGATGAGTGGTTCTTAGGAATCAATGGTGGGTTGCCAAGAACTCGTACATCATGCAGCAATGGGTGTGGTGCCCCATTAAGAGCTCTCTCAGGGTCAAGTTCTCCCTATAGGCCCTGCCTCGCTGTGCGGTGCCGTCTCTGGTTACTTCTGCTCCAACACCTATCCTAATGGCATTGGGCTTAGTCAAAGGTGAGGAAGCAGAGAGCAACATGCCACTCTTAAAGAGACTCCAGAAAGGAGAATGACAGAGCACACGGAAGCCCTTGTTGGCACAGAAAGCTACAGGTTAATTTTAAAATGAAGAGTGTTTGCCTTTAAGGGCTCCTCTGTGGGGAGGGCCTTCTGGGGGAATAGCTGTCAGTGTCATCTTAGTCCACATTCTTAGTCTGAACTCCTCATTGTGGGACACCTTCGACAAAAAGGCATCTCAGGAGACACAGCTAGCTTCATGACAATCAGAGCTACTCGCTCAAATCTGCCAGTTTTAGGTGTGAGGGAAAGGGACTGGTTTTCCTAAGGTCTTGAGGTGCCCATGTCAGCTGAGAGGCCAAATAGATGTTATGTTTCTTTTCCTGATCTTTCAAGGTACTTTTGAAGGGGGCCAGGTGTGGGCCTGGGCTGACTCCTTTTATCTCATAGGGAAAGTACAAAATGCTCTTCCTAAGCTTTCAGGACTGTTGTGAAACAGGTTTTCATTTAAAAAACAAAACAACAACATAGACCTTCAGTCCTTGCAGGTGGGGAAGGAAGCAATTTGTGTATCCATCCCAAGTGGAGGATGTTAGGGTTAGGAATGAGTGCGCTGTGGAAACAGGAGCCACCTTCCTCATTTCTCAGCAGAGGCACTGCTCGGCAAAGGGAGCTTGCGCTGGGCTGCTGGAAATGTCAGTGGTGGGACCAGTCCCCGATGGGTTTTCTTCAGGGAAAGGCGTTGTTCAAGGGAAAAAAGCAGAAAAAAACGCTGGGAACCTACCAGTGCGTCAGCTTTGTGCTTCAGCTTCTTGGCCTCCTGCATGTAATAGTCGGCATTGTGAGGCCTAAACAAACACAATTCAGTCTTTCAGTAGGCTTTGGCATCATTTGATTAAAAGATTGAATAGCCCAAATATTTCTGCTATGAATCCCCATACGGTGCCCAGCAAAATGCAGACAAACACATCTACTCCTGTTATGAGACACCTAGAATAAGTGGGCAAAATGGCTATCTGAGGTATAGAAATGGCCCATTTCAACAAATTCTACCTTCCCCCTTCTCCCTCCCCTGAGTAAGAGCATCACGTAGATAAAATAGATCAGAAATTCCTATTGGTCCCCCAGCATCTATCTCTACTGGAGGAAGCAAGCACAAAAGTGGGACGAAGCAGCCTAGAATTAAAGCTCCTTAATTGGAAACATTGAAATAGCACCAGCACGATCAGAGTAGAGCATGTGGGGAAAGTGCCAAGGCTTGTTGGGGCCTCTGCCTGAGCCTGGCCCAAGGGCCTCATTCTGGTCAACAGTTTTCCTTCACTTGATTTGCACAGAGATAACATTTTACACAGAGAAAAGGATGGAGAAGTCTTCCCTTCAAGGCAGTGCCCCACCCAAGACAGGAATGAGACATTTGGAATACTTCTGATAACATACACGTCATCAAAATGAATCCGAGGTCTTCTGGCCTCTGAGCTCCCATTGGCTAGGGAGGACATTGAAGACCAAGTAGCCATCTCCAGTTGATTACTATCCCGAAGCCCAATGCTGGGACCCCGATTATACGTATCTTCACCCTGTAAAAAAAAAAAATAATAACTTTTATTAACTCAGGTTTTTGGCAAAATCTCTCATCGTGATTGGCTTTGACCAAACAGAAGTGACATGTCTTAAGGTTAAAAAGGTTTTTTTTAGCCTAATCAGTCACTAGGTTTATTTCTCCTATGACACTCAACTCTCAACCAATAAGCTTCTGTAATTACATACTTCCACTATCTCACGAATACCCATTCCCAAAGGTTTAAAGTCAGCAGGGAGCCACTCAGCAGAATTGGTGAAAAGGTGGCAGGGTAGGGAGTGGGGCAGGATGGGAGAGCCTGGCATTGAGAATCTTTTACTAGGCTCCTTGTGAAACACCTTCAATTCCATAGCATCGGAAAGACCTCTAAACACCTTATTTAACATCAGCTCATGAGTTGTTTCTGTGGACAAGCCTATCCGCAGCTGGAAGGCTTTGAAGCTAGTTAGACATACTTCAGGCCTGGTCTTCCTAGTAGCTGTCTGCCACTGATGTGGACTGTTATCTTCTTACTCTCAGCCTGCGCCAGTGAGATGTGGATAGCAGAGAACAGACAGAGAAAGGAGGTGAGAAAAGAAAGACAAGCTCACTTGCCTGTCAGTGTCCCACATTCTTAGGCCAAGTGGGCATTGGCTGTAAAGACTCAGGGAAGAGTGAGACTCTAGTGCTTAGTCAAGTGCGTTGTAGAGGGTCGGCACTTAAAAAATAAAATGCACAATATGTGTCTGCAGTGGAATGTGACAACCGCAGATATCACCATGATTTTGTGCTGGCTTCCAAGAGGCACAGAACATGGTAGAGCACTGTGTTTCTATGCTGGTTAAATGAAATTGGGAGTACTGGGGTCAGTTCTGGAGCCTACAGTTTAAGAATGGCATTGATAAGGGGACAATATGCAGGGGAGGGCAGCTAGATTATTGGAGGGCCTTTGACTCCATGTCCTCTGAGGATGGGTTGAAGGAACTGAGACATTTAGCCTGAAGAAGAGAAGGCTCAGGAGAGTTGTTGTGAAGTGTGTGAAGGGATGTAATGTAAAAGAGAAATTGGATTTCTATTCCTTGGCCCGAGAGGGCAGAACCAGGGCACATGGGTGAAAGTTGCAGCAGCCAATTTTCCTGCTCTCCAAAAGTGAGAGGGGCCATTTCTGGCAGTGAGGAGTCTTTCCCGCCACTGGGTATCTTTTGGCAAAGGCTGATGACCAGCCAGTAGTTGGAAGGGAAGATGGTGGCTGTGTGACTTTGGGCATCATAGAGGGAAGTCTTTTATGGGTATGGTAAGGCCCAAATGGCTGCTGAGTTCCTTCTTGTAACTCTGCAATTCTGTGATATTGTCTGTGGAATTTGAGACTAATAGGAATGAGGTCAGTAATCCAATGGACAGAAATAAAATTCAGGTTCCCTTATATTTAGGTTGTGTATAGTGACACATTCACATTAAGGTCTAATCGCTTTTTCAGTCAATAAAAAGCAACAGTGCTGAGCTAGACAAAAGGAGTCCGCAAATCTCTCCTGCCAAGGTGGAGTGGGCCAGCAGGCCCCAGAGCTCCTGGACTGGCAGAGGCGTGCTCTCATTTTGATGTGGTAATAGCCCAGTGAGGTAGGCAGGGCAGGCACCATTATCTCCATTTGATAGATGTGCAGACAGAACACTGGAAAGAGTTCAATGACTTGCTCAAAATCACAGCAAATTTATAACATCCTAGACCAGAGCCCATTTCTCTTGCCTCTTTGTTTAGTGAAAAACAAACTATCCCCACACTGCCTTACAGACTTCAAGCTTGGGTGCCTGGGAGAATTGTGGCACTAAGAACAGAAATGGGATTATTGTAGAATTGACATTATAAACATTAGCATTAAAAGTTTTATGACTGTTATATTAAAAAAAAAAGCTTTTTATTAAGCACCTAATTAGCTTTGACAATAGAGTCTTGCAGAGTAAAAACAGTATTCCATAGCCACATACTACATGACTTTCCAAGGGTTTATCAAATATAACCAAAAAGGAAGTTTTTAATGTTAATTATAGTCATTGTGCCAGGTAGGGTGAATAGTAAGTACTGTTACTGTTTAGAACAGGTGGCTCTGTTTTATTGTGGTATAGTAGAAAGGTGTTGGAGTAAGAAGATCTGGGATCAGGGTCTTCTTCTGATACAGCTCTGTGACTCTGGACAGGTGTCAGTTTCCTCATCTGTAATATAAGGACAAAGATACTAGCACTGTTTACCCCCCAGGGTGCTTATGAAGAAAAGCCTGAGTGAAGTGCTAAGTCAGAGTTGGGGATTCCTACCTAGTCAACATCTCTGATTAGGCTGACATTATCAGTGGGAGTATCAATTCAGTATAAAGCATTGTCTCTTCCCTCTATCTCAGCTGCTGCTGTGAGAATCACCTTTGATAATCCAGGTGCATAACTTCAGGCCCTGAAAGCTCTGGAGCCTGCTGGCCTTTTCTGCAGTGGAATCTGCCCTCAGGGTCCAGGCCCACTCCACACTGGCAGGAGACATTTGGGGACTTGTTTTGTCTAGTTCAGCACTGTTACTTTTTATTGACTTAAATAGTGATTAAACCTTAGTAAACATGGTAACTCCCGATGTGCCCCCATTTTATGGATTCTCTGTGATTCATTTTTCATCCCAGGTCAGCTTGTCCTCCACCATGTAACATGCCCCTGTTGGCCACTCCCTGCTGAAGGAGGTTGAGAAAACAGAAGCTCAGCTTTTTGGTTGAACAGAATTAGCCTTAGATTTGGACCTGGAGGAGTCGGGTTCAAATCCTGCCTCTGCTGCTTACTCATCTGTGTGACCCGGGCTAAGTTGCTTCAACACTCTGGGCCTCAGTTTATTCCTCTTCTGTAAAATGAGGGGATTGTACTATATGACATGTGAGGGTTCTTCCAGCCCTGAAGCTTTGATCTTATGACTTAAATCAAAACCTGCTTAAGGAGTTTTCTACCAAAACACTGTGTCGCTCTCAGAGCCACACAAGGGATTCTCTACTGGTTTGACTTATCGTTGCTATTAGATGAGTGCTCAGTCATCTCTGATTGAGAAGCTGTTTTAGCACTTTCCCTAAGTACATGGGGTAGAGAGGACAGAAAACTTTTAAGTTCCATCCACACACAGAGATAGCAGCACTAAAACAGAACATTTTATGATGCCCAAAGTCACACAGCCAGTACGTGTCAGAGGCAGAACTCAAACTCAGGTCTTCCTGATGCCAAGGCCAGCTCTCTATCCACTTATTATTCCATACTGTCTCACTTTGTCTTTTCTTATGTGTATACGTACATACATATAGAGACTCTCTCTCTCTATATATGTATATATACACAATACTATATTATAGTATAAGCTCCAAACATACTATAAGCTCCTTGAGGTTAGGGACTACTTTATTTTAGTCTTTGTATCTCCAGTACTCAACACAGTACCTAGTACATAGTAGGCACTTTAAAAAACATTTGTTGATTGACCAAGTATTGTGCATATAGTTATGACTTACAGCATTTGCAAAGTCTAAAATAAAGTATCTCATCTCAGAATTAGCAAGCAAGAGATGCTGAATCTTTCCGAATTGATGTGGGATGGCCCACAGACTCCAGACATTTTGTGACCTATATTACTGGGCTGCCACCAGCATGCTATCCTCTGATGCTTCATTGTAGTGGGAAGGTGGCCCTGGGCTCTTGAAGGCTTTGCCAGCCAACTAAAACTTCCGTCAGATCCTACCAAACTGGGAAGGCTTCAGGTTGAAAAATCCTAGAAGCCTTGGTCATCAAGGACCTCTAGACTTCATTAAGTCAGTCTTCTGCCTTAAAGCAGAGCTCAGTTTAAACTGTCCCTCTCAGAAAGTTCTTTCTCTTAGAGTAAAATATCTCCAAGGGAAGAGCTTCTCTGGTCTCTGTTAGCAATCCATTCCCCCCTCCCAATCAATTCAAGGCAGGATGTGATAGTTATAAGACTAGTGGAGAGGAGGTGGGTGGGGGTGGTGATTACCTATCTGAGTTAGCAAAGGGGAAAGTATAAAATTGAGGGGGGAGGCGAAGCCCAGAAGGGAGAGAAGAAGGCTGCTGAGTGATGGCAAAGTTGACTCTGTCCAGACATCCGTTGCCATCATCTAGGTATAGTCTCTCCTCCCCCAAATATTCCATCTCTGGTTAACCCAACTCCTGTTTCCTTCGACATCCCAACCTCTCAGTTGTCCAACAGCATTAGCTCCCAGGGCCTTTGTTTCTAGACTCCTTCAGTCCTTCAACCACACCCGAGTGGCACTGACCCTCCTGCACCCCACCTCGAGCTTGGCTTAGGATTGAACATTGCCCCCCCCCCCAAATACTTACACATATTCTGAAGTTTAAATGGCTCTTGCTCTCATTCTTTCTGTGTCTGGCAAAGGAACAACTGGCAGCTGGAAAAGCAGTGGGCATGGGAACTTCCTGCCCAGCGGAACTGTTGCTGTCAGAGCTGACTCGCCGATGTAGGGGCTCGTCCGACAATGGGGACAGTGGAGGTGGGAAGAGTTTGTCATCTCTTTTCTTTGTCATTTTTTTGGCTGGAATATTTCTGGTGGAGGAAAACAGAAATCATTTGTGTTCTCAGCCCTTTTCTCCTCCTATTTCTTGTCATTTAGGGCAGCATTTTAAGTGATGATAGATACCACAGTCCCTTACTGATGATGGCCTTCCAATGGAGATTGAGTGTATGCATTGGAAGTTAGGTTTGGGTCTTTGAAGCAGATCTCTAGATCTATTTAATGGTATAACTTAGGGCCTTAGTGTGATATACTCAGTCTTTCAAGGCTAATTCACACTAATTGGATTTTTATGGGAAATACAATGTATACTTTAATTCCCCCCCACCAATTTAAAAGGAAGATTTCTCCTTATTTTGAAGTAGAACTTCTCAGCAGAAGCACTAAGTAAATGATGGGATTAATGAGCTGAGAGAGCTTTTCTTAAGATAGATGTGCACACATTCCACATATACCTATGGGAAAAGATGGCAAATTCAGGTGAAGAAAACTGTTTGCCTCAGCAATAAAACATCATAAACACTTGACTCAAAAGGCCCCAGACAGACTGACAGCCAAATCTGAGGCACCCCACTTTCCAGAATATGTCTCTTTTAGTCGTAGCAAAACTGTGTATTTTCAAATACAAGCACACCTTATTTTAGAACTTGTAGAAATGGGCAATCTGCCCAAAGAACCAAGGCCACCAAAAAAAAAAAAAAAAAAAAAAAAAAAAAAAACCACACACAACTCAATAAAGGACTTTAGGCCCTGGTAGTTATTTCTGATAGGAATGCAGGCATGGATTTTTATTTTAGTTACTGTTTTAGTCTAATCAATGAGGATTACTTGAATTTTCATTTTTTTCTTGCACAACTGATATTGCACTGAACAGTCATTTGCTTTCCGTGATTATTGACAAAAATTTTCGGTAGCAAATTAAGTCAACAAGAATTCTGTTTTCCTCTTGGTCAACTTCAGTCAGTGTCAGAAGATATAGATTTCCAATATCTCCCAGCAGCAAATCAAAGATGAACAAGTCAGTTCATTGGGGTTGCACAAATTTGCCAGTCATCCTCTCTCTATCTCTTGTCTAGCCCCCAGTGACAGCTCCCACCACGCTGAAGAATTTAAAATCCCTTTAAGTGTTTTTACCATTATTATAACTGGCTAAAAATAATTTTTAAAAAATTGACATTAGTTTAAAAAAAAAAAAAACAAACCGTTTTCCCCAATAGAAGTAATTTTAAAGCAGTCATGATGTGTGATCAAAATGATCTCTAACATAAGCTTGTGAAGCTCTCCAAAATACAGGGCCAAGCCAAGCCCAAGGAATACACAGGTAGCTGAGCTTTAGAAATCTCTGCATACAGCTATCACGGATAGCCTTAGCACAGAGGAGTTAGCAGAGGTTTCCCTCTGCTTCTGGTCCCGTGGGCCGTAATAGTAGGGCAGACACAGTCATCATGGAGGGTTGGCTCCTCCCCTCTGCACATTACATAGGTCCACTAAGGTCCACTGGAGCACATTGGGGAGGAGACCTGACAACCTGGGGCTTGGGGCATTTTACTTTGTAGAAGTCCTTCAATGATGGGCGTATTCTAGCAGCATCAGCGATGATGTCCTAGAACACTCATTTTCCTTACTCTGATCGTCAGCTGGCTCCCAGAGGAGAAGTGGGTAAAGCAGCCATTCCCCCTTTGATGACAGGGAACAACTCCCCCAGCAGGGTGAGTCTTTAGGTCCTAGCAAAGACCTAAGATCATCTTCTCCATGTGAAAAAGAGCCCTTGGTCTCCAGCGGCTTTCCAAGGCTTTCATGGAAAGCATCAGTGAGCTATGGATGTACAGAGAAGAATGGTTGCTTAGAGGGAAAGCCTTCAGAGAGAGAAATTATTTCTTTCACCCCATTTATTCCACTGATATCTTATATTCTGATTGGTGGTTTTTAAATGACAAAGTAGACCCATTTTCTTCTTCTGTCCCTTTCCCTCTCCTCCCAAATAGCAAGAGATCCTAGGTCCCCCCTACTCATGGATATTTAGAGAGAATAGAAAGATATTATGGTAAATGAGATGTTTGCTCAGAGAAACTGCCTCTATTTTCAGGTTTAAACCCCCTACACATGGCATAGCAAGAAATACATAAATGATTTGCTTATGAAAAAGGACAGTTGGGGGAAATGAAGGGAGTAAAAGACCAAGCATCTAGGGCTGTGGCAGTAATATTCATTACCTGCAGGAATTCTGCATGAGCAATTTCCCTTTTCAGAACCTCATTATCCTGACTGGCCTCAGACATCGTCTAAATTTTTCTAAGTCTATGGCTGCTGGTTCTGGACTCGAATACTTTCCTTCCTCTAGAAGATGTCTTGGAATGGTTCAAGCCTGGCAGCGCATGCCTTGGAACCCTGGCAGATTTGGAGGGGGCGCTCCAGAATGTGCTTCCCTCTCTATCCCAAGGCCTCATGGAGTAAAGGTGGAGCTCCCTTTGTTCTGAGCGTGCAGTATTCTACTGGGGAAGTGGGAGCTGGCAAAGGGGGGGAGGGAACCAGGGAGGTATAAGCAGTGAGAAAGCTGAAGTGTGTAAACAGTGGCAGATGAGATCTATGCCAACTCATTGCTCCTAAACAACAAGCTGGGAAATCCAGTGCTGTGAGCATTTTGCCAGACTGGTGCTAGGCTGGGGGCTACTAATAGGCTCAGGGACTGGCATTTGATGGAAGTCATCTTCACTTCTGAATGACTATGGCAATAATTATCCAGGCTGGATACTTTAAGCAGCTGGCATGACTGTTAGTTAAGTTAGATTTAGAATCCAGGAAGGAATATAGTCCAAATATCAGGGATGAACAGAGGGCTGGACTTTGCACTGGAAAGTTTATGCAGCTGGAGGAAGAAGGGGAGGAGGCTGATTGGCAGACAATGAAAATGTCACAGCTTGCATGCGTCCTGCCTGTTGTGGGTGATCAAAAAGGTGCAGAAAACTAAGTGTCATTTAAAGCAGCAGCTTTCCCCCTTGTTTGTCCCCAGCCCCACCTGACTGCTTTTCATTAAGGCCTGAGAGAGCCATTGATTCTGTCTTCTTATCAACTGTTCTCTCCCCCAAACAGAGCCACACTGTTTGAGAACTCAAGATAGGGCAACAAGGAGTTACTTTTTCGGGGGAAGTGATCTGCTTAATCAAAACTGCCACTGGAGATTGTTGGTTGCTGGGTCATTTGGTCGATGGGGTAGAAGTATTAACGTTGGCCTGTGTTACGTCACTTATTTCTGTTCTGCTTTGGGACAAATGCCATTTGGGGCTTATGCAGTGGTTCTGTGAGATGGTACAAGAGCACCAGTTGTGTTGAGGGATGCCCATCTTTTACCTGCAGCTCCTCTCGGATGGGGTCCCCCCCAACTCTTTAGAACTTAAAGCTTAAAGTTCTTTAGAACACTTAATAGAATTAATGCACAAAGAAACAAACCAAACTTACTCTTTAGTGGTTGGGAATCTGTGACTACTGGGTATTGGTGAAATGCAAGGTGGGAGCAGGCAGGAAGGTGGAATGTGTTCTAGCCGTTGCTTCTTGTTCTCCGTGAACAAGTCCAAAGGGTCAGATGGCTTTAATAAAAAAGAAAGCGGGAATCACACAGGATCTACATCAACATTCTACTTAGAGGGAATAGTACGGTCTAAGGTTAGGGCAGATTGCTTTTTATAAATAGGATTATGGAGTGGGTGAGTCAGAGATGCTTATATAATTAAAGGTGCCTTTGGTATGGCAACTCCATGTGACCAGCCAAACATCAGGCAGTACAGATAGTGTGAGTGCCTGATTTGGGCATGTGATGGATATGGTAACATTCAGCTTGCCTCTTTTCTCTCTCATGATGTTCCCCAAATGAACAGTATAGAACCAAAGCTGTAGCCCCAGGTACAAAGCTTGTCCAAGTAGAGAGCTAGTATGCTGGTAGTGACAGAAAAGGTAAAACTGGGATGGTGCTAGGGCAATCCACAAAGAGCATGGGATCTTTTCTGGGGTGCCCATAACTTAAACTTACTCTACTGGAGGTGGCCATTTTAACTAAGAATAGAGCTCCAGGTTTATCTGCCACAGAATTTCTGTCAATTGCAATACAGTCAACAGGCTCTGAAGTTTTGCACTGATCACAGATATGTGTGCAAATCAGAGATGTTCCTTTCCTACCCTTCCCCCATCCCTGAAATGAAATTAATGTTTTCAGAAGGCATCAAGATTCCTCTGTTGGGCAGTACAGCAGCTCTCTTATGGACAGGATGCTTAGGAGATAGAGAATGAGAGTCTTTCCTGCCTCCTCTGCAGCCCTCCTGAAGGTAATGGGGGGAGCATTACTGAGTACCTCCTCACTAGTTAAAAGCCATGATGTTAATTTGCCTTTTTTTCTGAGAAATAATCTGAAAACGTAGCACCATCATGTGCTGATTTAATCAAGGAAAAAAAATTTCAAGAATATATTATTTGTCATTGAAAAGTTTGTTCTATGCTTCATTTTCAGGGTACCTCTTGTCTGCCCTATGAGATATGGGGTTATCACAAGCCAAAACAACCATAGAAACCGAGGCTCCCCAACCTTGCATTTAGCCACTCTGCTCTAGGTTTTCTGTGCTATTCATAAACAAACAGCATCCCAAAGATCACTGTCGCTTGGAATTTTGTCTCTGCCTAGAGCAAGGAGAGCCAAAGTGGAATGTGTTGTAGGTATGTGAATGCTCATCAGGAAAAGGTAGTTCTGATGCACCTCTGTGTCTCTGCAGATAGTGAGGAAGGAAGAAGGGGGTAGAACTTTTAAAAAATTTGGCCATTTTGACAATCTGTGGCTTCCATGGAGGGGAGACGATGAGGAAGTCAGGAAAGCAGAGAGTACCTCTCAGGCTCTAAACCTCAGGTGAGGGGGGGTGTGAAGACCCAGGGGAGGGGGAACCAACTCTCTGTCCATTTCTTTCCCTTGGCAGAGAATGCAACTGCCATTCCTGACTAACCTGGGGACTACAACTTGTCAGCAGGGCAAATACCCTAATCCTACTTTATTCCTTATAAAAGGCAATACTGTCCTAAATGGATGCAGCCCTTGGGGCTGACCTTGAACAATGGGCAGCCCACCTAGCCACTCATTCCCACCCTTAGATGACCTACCTTGTATTTCCTCTTGTTCTTGGCAGGCATCTTCTCAGCAAATGAAGGGCCAGGTGACTCTCGGGACTGGGGGAACTGTGGTGGTTGTGTTTGTGGTTGTGGTGGTTTTGTGTTATTCTCTCTGGGCTCAGACTTGGCAGAAGTGGTTTCAGGTGGGTCTTGGCCAGGCACTCTAGACAGTAAGCCAAGATCTATTTTGACCCAAAGTGCTTTAGTGTCGTCATAATCACGTATTGGGGACAGAAGTTCCGTTTGCACAATGCGCAGAGGTGAGAAAAGCTGTTCCTCCACCTCATTGGTGGTGACGTCCATACAGAGGCTGCTGCTGCTGCTTCTGGTTAAAGTGCTGACACCGATGATGCTGTTGCCTGGAGCCTCCTTAGGTTTGATGGCATTGGTCAGTGAAGGACCAGGAGGCACCGCTTTGACCTGTAAGGCTTCGTCTTGGTCAGTGTTTGAGTCTGAAGTTGAGGAATCAGTTTCCACAAATTCTCGAGACTTGGGGACAATTTTTCCAGGGCCTCTGAACTTCTTCTTTTCAGCAATAAATGCTGCAGTAAGTTTGGGTTCTTTCCTTGGGGCCAGTTTTCCAACTGCTGCTCTGTTCCGTGCTTTGGCCTGCTCTGGGTGTTCCAGTGTGTCTTTTTCTTTGGGAGTGTTGCTGGGCTGAATATTTGGTCTAGGCCAGGGGCATTCTTCAGTGCTGGGTGTCCTTTCGACCTTTTGGGGTTGCTTTTTGCCTATGGGCCTTTGTGAGGCTGCTTCGTTTTGAGCGGGCGACTTCTGCCTGGAGTTTTTGGCCTCTACAGGAGGAGGTGGTTTCTGGATAAGCCGTTGTCGAGCCTTCTCCCGGAGAGGGCTCAGGAGGGGCCTCTCTTTGGGTTCGATCTGGAATAGGCCAGGATTGACTTTGCCCTTATTCTGTACTTCAGTTTGTGGAGCGATGGAAAGTAGAGAACTGTTCTCGTTGGAAGTCTCATTTTGGTTGCTTATAATGGTCTTGTTATGAGGGTTCACTTTGTTCAGCCATTTGTCGAGCTGCCACTTGTTGGTTGAAGGAGGCTCTGGCTATGGGTGGCAAAACAACACAAAATTCATTTGACATTGGAAGCCAGCAGTGTCCTCAGCATACTGACACTTGGCTGAAGAAAGCAAAAGCACAGACTCAGTTACTACCTCACTTTTAAGGTTCCCTGTAATATATCACCACTACAGGTGCAGTACCCTAGTGATGTCCACTCACCATCCCCCAAGTACACACCGCTCACTCCTGCTTCCATGTCATGGCAGTTCCCTTAGTCTGCAATGGTTTCTCCTGTCTTATCCAGTCACCCAGGTGCCTCCAAGTCATCTTTCCCAGGTTTCTGTGCTCCCCATGAAGCTCTGAGCTAATTCAACTGCTTTTCCCCTCTGTTTTCTTTAGTACCATTTCTGTTTCCTCTCAGGGAACAACTGGGTCAACTGTTGATGGTGAAGTTAAAATAGGCTGGCTCCGCTATCTTTGATGGCAAAAATAATTTGGTATAAAACATCTTTCAGATCTTTTCTCTTTTTCATCTCTTGTCCTCACTCCAGTTTCATCCCTCAAGGAATCTCTATGTAATGGGGTCTTGTGCCACACTATTTGTAAAGTGGGGGTTTTTCTCCTTTCCATCCGTTGCTTTTCACTTTTTTATGAGATGGCGCTGCTCACATACTTCCACCATCCTTTCATGAGTTGACATAGCTAAGGAATTCCTGAACAAAGGCCAGCCTACAGCTAACAAACCCTTCTGTACTTATTTTGGGACTTGGTTTACAAAGCAACACAGCATTACATGATAAGGCCCTACACCTCCACTTAAAAAATACTTCCTATGGGCTAAGATAGGCCTTGTGTAGTATCTAGGGAATATTTTGTGTTATGGTCCCCTTTGGCAATCTGGGGAATCCTATAGACTCCTCAAAATAATGTTTTTAAATAATTAAAGGAAATGCTAAATTTCAGTTAGACGTTGGTGAAAATGAAGATTGAATTTCTTTTTTTCTACCCAAGTTCACAGACCCTTGCAAACCTAGATCCTTTGTCTTAGAGAGCTACCCAGGACCTGAGAGGTCAAGGGACTTGACTGTGGTCACACAGCTACACAGAGGAAGGACTGGAACTCAAGTCTTCCTGACTCCAAAGCCAGTCCTCTATGCACTAATAAAGAGAACGCACAGTTATATAATTTAAGTTTTGCAAAGCACATTCCTCAAAATACTCCTTTGAGATGGGAGTTATGCAAATATTATTATTCCCATCTTACAGATAAAGAAACTGTGGCCCAGAGAGGTTAAGTAAACGGATCAGGGGCACACAGCTAATATCAGAACAGCCATTAAAACCAAGTCTCTTGATTTTGAATTCAGCTCTCTGCCCACTATGCAAAGAAAAAAAGCAACTGAATGACATGAGTGGAAGAAAAAAGGAAAGGAAACCCAACTGGGAGCGGGGCTGGGGTTTACACAAACTAGGCCTTGCATGCCCAGCGCTGGGCAGGGAGTCAGTTACCTCGGGCGTGTTGCTGCGGGATTCCTCATTGCCCTCGCTGTCGCTAGAGGTGCTCTCGCTGTCAGAATCAGACTCAGAACTGCTGTCAGATTCACTGGAGCTTCCAGACCCCCCACTGGAGGGAATGACGACAGGCTCAGGGGCAGGCGGCGGCAGTGTCGGGCTGAAAGAGACAAGCGGCATTCTTGGCATTTTGCTCAGCAACATGCAATGGACGTCACGAGCCATCATTCAATAAGTATTTATCATCAGTGCCTCCCATTTTCTTGGCTTGCAAAAGGAGTATGAGACATGTTCGGTGCCCTTTTGGAGTTTATGTCATTGAGGACACAAGACACCCATGTGGAAACAGTGATGTAGCAAAGGGACTCAGGAGGTTGCTGAAGGGGATGCCCAGTGGATTAGAGCGGTGTAAACAGGACCTCAACACTAGACTGTGCTAACAGCTTCTGTTTATAGGCATTATTTGAAGTCTGATCTTTTGTATGTATGTGGCCAGGTGTCTGCGTATATGACTTCATTCTTCACTTTCTTTTTTGGGATAAAAAAGGAAACAAACCTTTTTCTAGTGTCCTGTTTGCAAACCATCATAAAGACTCTACCCTTCACTTTGAGCCTGGCCAGCTACTTGGTGAAGTGATTACAGATACTCATTTCTATTTTCCAGATGAGGAAATTAAAGCCCCCACCCCAAAGTAAAGTGATGGCAAGAAAGTAGCAGAGGCAGGATTCAAACCTAGGTTTCTCCTGGCCCGGAGGCCATTATGCTTTCAATTACTATCTGTCTTGCCTACATTGTTTGGCAATAAATGATCCATTAGACAGAATAATTCAAGGTGCATTCATTAGAATTCCAGCTCCTCAAGGGCAGGGTAGCATAGTCACTGGCACACAGTAGGCACTTAACAAATACTTATTAAATGACTGACTGACTGAAAGACTCAGCAGATCTTTTTACTTAATATTTTTTAACACTGCAATAAGACGATGTAATTAAAACTGAGTTTGCAGTCATGGTGCTAGAGGCATTGAAAAGGGAAGGCAATACAAAGTTTACTGGTAATAAAGAAAGGTCATTTTGAATTACTTTACAAATCAGCTACAGCCCAAGGTAGTTAGCTACCAAGCAGCTAATACTTTGGATATGAAAAAGATCCCATTATGATGTACGATGTTTTCCCCACATCTCTTCAAATTAATTCCTTTGGGAAAAAAAAATAAAACCTATTCTGAACTTCTCACACCTGAAATGAAATGGGCATGTCCGTAGACAGAGTAGAGCAGAGGAAGACATGGTGAATCCCTCTGATTTTATTTGTATTTTGAAAGCCATTGATTCCTCTGAGGCCCCAGACCAGATTCAGGCTTGGTTTGACACTTACATTTGTTTTTTATCTGTTTCTTATAAATATCACTATCAAAAACATGAACATTTGGGTATGCAAAGAACAAAAGAGGATCACATATGAAATCATGGACGTGTTAGTTTGTAAAGTGCACAGAGTAAAATAAGAGTGACAAAATTGCCAAGTTTATTCTCTTCTCAACTTTTTCATTTCACATCCATAGTTTTTACTTTCTTGATCCTTCTTTCCCTTTTTTGGTGTCTCCATCAATCCCTGCTCCCTAACGCACCCTCTCTTTTAACAAAACAAAGCAACACATTGGCCTCATCTGAAAATGATCTCCCCTCCAGTCCACTGGCTCTCAGCCAAGAGGCATCCCTCACATCTGTGGAGGAGCCAGCAGTCTACCCAATAGAACAAGCCTCTACTCCAAGAAGTCCTCCCCAGCTGCTCAAATGGTTTTCATTTGCAATTATATTGTTACTCAAATATAGAGAATTCCTTCTGACTTGTCCTATACTTCTCAGGGCCATCATACTTTCCCACCTTTCCCCTTCCTCCAGTCTTCATAAAAACTATTTATTGTTTTCTGTAAATGGTTGGATTATTTATAGAGGCACAGATAAAGAGAATGTTGGACTTGAAAGGAAGCCTAAAGATCATTTGGTCCCATCCCAGCATTGTGCAGGAGAGGAAATCGGGCTCCTAACAAGTAAAGAACTTCAAAGGTCCAAAGCCCAAGGTCACATTGAAGTTTCCTGGCAGAATGGAGACTAGAACCAGGGGCGCCTCATTCCTCATCCAATCCTGTCTCCTCCAGTAAAACCTTTTAGGAACTCTTTGAAAAGGTGTACCAGAATGGATGGTCATAAGGAACCACCTTAATTGATGTTAAATTTGTAAAGCTGATCAAGCAAAATATTTGCCAACTGACAGCCTTTAATGATAACTGCTACTTCATAAGCCACTGTTGGCTCTCAATGTTTGTGTGCATCCGTTTCAGAACTTGAGTGCAAATTATCCAGGGCTTTTTTTCTTCTATTCTTATGGCCTCTTTGATTTGCTTGAGGATCCTCTCCCTCCTCTTAAAGTAAATGCCTCCCTTCAACTTACTTAGACTGTTCCAAAATGTTGGGCCAAGGTTGAAGTTGAAAAAGATGACTGAAGGAGAGCAGGGTTATCCTAATTTTTTTTTTCTCCCAATGTTGAAGCATGCTTCCCTTCTCATCCCTTACCCGCCTTCCTCAAACTTGTTCTGCCCATTGACCACGTTGGGGGGCATTCTTGTTCTTTCTTCCTCTGACAATAGGGCTAAAGGAGGCCCTGAGGTACAATTATTGAGTAAGCTGGACTGAACTGTGGGAGAAACATGAGGCTTCCATTCCATTCTTTAGTCTAAATTAGTCCATACTCTCCCCTCTCCCTTGACCCCCCTCTTCCCATAAGCCTATTCTCCAAGATTACAGCCCTATGAGCTGTGAAGAAAGCCATCTTTACCTACTGGTCAGGAAAAAATGTAATCTCTTTACAATCTTTCGGACTCTAAATGCTGGAGAGGCTGTGGGAAAACAGCTACATTGCTGGCCTGGGGGTGGAGCTCTCAACTAGTCCGATCATTCTGAAAAGCAATTAGGAACTAGGCTCCTGAAGACGATTAACTTGTGCATCCTCTTTGACCCAGGGATATGCTATTAGATCTACTACCTCAAAAAGATCAAGGAAAAGGACGCATATGTACAAAAATGTTTATAGCAGCTCTTTTTGTGAAAGCAAAGCACCGAAAACTATGGGGATGCACACTAACTGGAGAATGGCCGAACAAGTTATGGCATACTATTGTGCTATTAGAAATGACGAGGTTTTAGGAAAACCTGGAAGGAACTGTATGAACTAATTCAAAGTGAAGTGAGCAGAACCAGGAGAACAATTTATACAATAAGAACAATATTGTAAAGACAGATAAATTTGAAAGAATTTGGAACTCTCTCTCTGTATATAGAGTAAGATAGATATAGATGTAGGCATGGTCAACTATACGTGTTTGTAACAAAGTCTTTGTTTTTCTTGCTTTCTCAACAGGGATGGGGGGGCTATGGGAGGGAGAGAAGGCAGATTTTCATTTGAAAAAAATAATTATAAAACAAACAAAAATAAGCTATGAGTTACTACTTGGGTGGAGAAACCTATTAACTGCTCCTTCTATTCCTTAAGAATTCCCCTTTTAATTAATTTAATTAATTAATCTTTTAAGTATGCATTTCCTTTTATATAGTCAAAGTTCATTTTAAAATACCTGCTAAACTCAAAATCTTCTGTCATATACACCAAGAGATTAGGAGGAAGAGGTAGAATAAGAGAGAGCCCTAAAAACAGTGCCTCATTTTACAAGCATTAACATCAGCATGTGCTTATTTTTTTTTTTTTGCTCTACTGAAAGATTAATGAATGTGCATTAAACACAATCAGTAGTTTCTTAGATTACTTATTAAATACTGGTGAACACAGGAGATTAAATCAATGCAGAGACTATGAGAAATGAAGACATCTGGTTTCAATTCACCCTGCTAAATGTGTGCATAAAATACAGCCATTTTCTGGGTTCCGTAGAAGGGTAAAGGAAGCTGAAGGCCAAGGAATAATCCAGATTGAGTTGGATAAGCTTTCCATTAATATCAGTTTTGCCAGTTTTCATCTTACTTGCTAAATCAAAATAACAGTTATGCTGAAAACTACAAATGTAATTATTTCATATTTACAATTTGAATTACAATTACTTCAAACTTTTAAGTAGTCTTACATTGGGTATTGAAATGATTTCCCAATGATCTGCTAAAGCTAAATCTCTCATGTTATTGTTAGCTAGGACCAAATGTCAAGTGAACTTCAAGTACTGCCATACCAGACAAACAAATGGACTGTATCACTTTTTGATACATCATCAGCCATGAGTGTAAGTAATAAGTAAAAAAGTGGACAGAAGTCAAGTCAGTAAGCATTTATTAAGCACTTCCTATGTTCCAGGTATTGTGCTAAGCACTGGGGATTCAAAGAAAGGCAAAAAAGTCTGTTCTCTAGGAGCTAATTCTAGTCAACCTGGGGAGATAATATGTGCTACCCACATCCCTGAGACCACAGATACATTGGAATATGAACTAGGTTCCATTTATATGTGTATGAAGATTTGGAGGGACTTGAATTTACAAAATTTGCAAAATGCATCATTAGTCGACTCACTGTGAATGCTACTACTGACCTCCAAGTGGTCTATAGGCAACCAGTGAAGGCGAAACTAGCTTACAACTGGCCTATCCAAGGGACAGTGTTGTTTGATGCTTCTGTGATCTTCAGTGGAGACTGCCCCCAAAGGGTCACAACCCAGTGTTGGTAGAATGAAGAAGTTGTTTTGAAAGATTAAGGTGAGAGGAGGCCTGAAATGTTTTAAATACTTTATAAAATGAATCAGTCTCCAGAGCAATGGAATAAGGTATGACTAAATCTTAACTTGACATCACTACATAACATTATGTATAATGATGATTGTTGATTGCTCTAAAAACCTCCCAGCAAGATTGGTGAACGTGGGTGAAGGTGTATTTTGAAGCTTTCTAGCCTTGTAGTTAAACATCCATAATACTTTGTGAGCAAAGGAACTGTGTCAAAGATCTTACAGTGCATTTGATAGCGTAACCAAAACAGATGTTTAAAAAAATGCCTCTAATCCTTCTGTACATTTTGGCTTTAAAGGCCATGTCAAATGCAAGCCAAGATGAAAGAAAGCTCTGGCTGGGTAGTTGAAGCTGACCCCAAATTATAGAAC